GTCAAGGTCAGTGACCTTTGATGCCCTTGGTTGTTTTTTTAAACACATTTGAGTACCTATCCTCGAATATTTTGAATTTTCATTCATTTGAAATTTAGAGAACCTTTCCTTTAGAACGAGTTGCACATCGCGGAGCTAACTTTTTGTGGTGACTGATAAATACTAAGAAAAGCCGGTATTAGTAGAGCACCTGACCTGACCTGTGATAATAATAAGTTGGATACCGTCGGCTTCCTCTCGTAACGAGCAATGGGCCTTTTTCCGCATAACAAGGTCAATCAGCATCGAACAGCTCGAGGTTCAACCGGTCCCTCTCCCTTTGATATTTCACAATTAGCCGCCGTAAAATGGCCAACATCAACATGAGCCAGTGATGGTACCCTGTAAATAATTTATAACCTTATCAGCATGCGCCCGTCACCGTGTAATAACTGATTTTGAACTTACCTTGAGTTGATTCCATCCGTGTGCACTGCTTATTGTCTTGTTCGGCATCATTGGTTTTTGACCGATCCACATCACTTTTGGCATCAGCAGCAGTCAGCACCCATCACTCACGAAGGCATCCCGGTATCTCAATCTCAATCTGGGGGCTTCAGCCTCCATGAAAACCAGCATAACGGCTCCGATAACTTATTGCCGCACTGGAAGATACCACAAAAGCACGGCACTTCACCAACGCACCTCACACTACCCTACGCCAATCGGATTCACATGACCCGTCACTCCAGCCTTGACACACGACCTTCACACGGGGTGCCCGCTTGCACGCGGCGCGGTCAGCGCAGAAAGACGGGGCACTGCGCATGCGCGACCGGCCGAACACCGGCCGGAGCGGGGCGGCTCCAGCGGCGCCCCCGCTCTCCCTCCCCCCTCCGTCCAGCGGCCGTCCCCCCCCCCCTCCCTCGCGGCGGTCGGCCGGCAGTCTGCGTGAGATAGGCGTTAGGCACTGGGCACTGGGACACTTTGGATAGCCCCGATCGCGCTCTCGAAGAAATGCCTAACCTAATGACTTGAACTTTACACAATGCGTAAATTTACTGAGGGGATGAATAGGGTCCCGTCATGGCTTCTGGATAGTGGGGAACGCCTTGGGTAGTTGAAAGTATTATTGTCCTGCAGTTACAGTTGTCTATTGCAACTGGAGAGGGAGAATGTTCTTACTCAATGTCAAAACCTGTTCTTATTTATCTGCAGATTTTGGGTCAGTTCATACCCTCAGGACCGGGAAATATAAGTAATCTGTGCTGCATCTTTGCCCAATGAATCTCCCCTGAGTGATTACCGAACTCAGATAGGTACATATACCTAGGAGTGCAAAGTGCTGCATACCATGCATGATGAATCGGTACGGCACTTAAATTGGTCACAACTTAAAGTGTGAAGCATTTTGTCATATAATTATATGATTACAATAGTGTGTGTGCATGCATATTTTACAATGTTCATTCTTCGCCCACCTGTACGGGTCCTCGGGAGCGCATGCCTAGTTTTTGTCCGATCAAGTGATAACTGATCTCGACCTGTGCTGAAAATGCGCTAGAGTCGTCATTTTTTATCACTTTTTATTGTTTCCGATAGCGTAAACAACGGGCGATAAATTTGTCAGAACAGACAGATATCTCAGTGATCTGATCATTTAGTTCCGTATCGATGCTGTCGTCGAAAAGAATGTGGATAACGATAAAATCCAGTCCGCAGATGTTCGGGAGGCGGATAGGGAAGTGATAAAAAGAGCACAAAAGCGCAGTGTGCGCTACTCAGCTCAAAGTAGTGCGACAAAGTGAAATACGATATCACTCTGCATTATAAGTCAATCTATCCGGTTGCATTTTTTTTTTTTTTTGCATAATCCAAGCAGAAGCCGGGGATATTATTTCAATACATTGCAATTGAATGTTAGGCTGCTGGTTTACTATTGTTTATTTCAGTGTGAATAGGTAAGTGCTCCGTACTTTTTAATGCGTTTTATTATTCATCGTGCCAACAGCGAAATGGAAAGTCAAAAAATGTCAGCAGAAATTAGCAATGAACATTGACGAAAAATTATCTCATCAAATCATTTACATTTTAGATGGTACACCCTCACTGGGATACACCACAAATGACTTCGGTCATGGCACGAGTCAGTCATCATCGGGGCATACCCAGTTCTATTCATATTTACCAATCCCATGACGTCACAAACGAACCCCTCCCCGATACAAAGCGAGCCGGGGAGGCAGTGTTCTCAGCCTGTGCTAACTCACGGCTAGCTATCGGTTGCAGAGGCACCGATAGGCCGTATCGGTCGACGCCGACTGTTTCTAGTCCACTAACAAACAGACTGTGCACATGGGCGGACCCAGGAGACAGCTTAGGTGGGGCAAAACACCGCAGCAATAGTTTCATATAGCCGTGACTCACTGGCGGTCCCAGGGGGGGGCCACGGGGGCCATGGCCCCCCCTTTGGTGCTGAAAGGTGGGGCCATACTATCTTTTGGCCCCACCTTTCAGATCGAACAAAAGTCCTAGAAAAGCTTTTCGTATGTTTCATTTTCTTTCTTGCGCCATCAAAGGACGTAAATTTCACTCATGAGTGGGCTCAGTTTCGCATTCTGTCAATTTGGCGGTCAGCGTCGCTGGCACCGGTTCACGAGTATGGCCGGATATATATGGAATATCAGCGTGGGTTTACTTGAGGCTCTCGTAGGCCCAGCAATGGCTGGCATGAGACCCTCTTCGGCAGTGGTGGGTGGGCCCTGCTAAAGGAGATTGGCTCTAAGACACTAAAGTAAGACCTCATGGGTTGGTGCTGTGTACCTCAGAAGCCCGGTGGTGACGCCGCATGCCGGCTTGGTTTCTTAAGGATTAGCGTGGGAACTCCGGGGCCTGCATAGAGTTTGCATGAGCAAGTATATAATCTCAGAGGCATATGTGTGTAATGTGTACACAGTGGCGGTCGCGGGGGGGGGGGCATCAGGGCCATGCCCCCCAAAGGTCAATAAAGGGGGCCATCATATCATTTGCCCCCCCCCTCAAACAACCAATGGGCCCCCATATAGGTGTATGGGGCCCTGGCAATTTTTCGATCGTCACGAGGCTCAAAAAACCCACGCCCAGCTATTAATATAGCTCCCACACCGGTCTTTGAGCGTCCTACACTGACCTCTGAGGGAACTTCAGTGGCGGTCAAGCGCCCACGTTGGCCGCTAAGAGCCTACATCAACCTCTGAGACCCCACATCTGGCCTATGAGGGCCCCTGACCGGCCTCAGGGGTCCCAACCGGCGTCTGAGGGTCTCACACCGGTCTCTGGTGGCCTTATTTCTGTCTGTGGTGTCCCAAGACGAACCTTTAGGTGCCAATGAGGGCCCCGCACTGGCTGCTGAAGACCCGACGCCGGCCTCTAAGGGCCTGCATTGGCCTCTGAGGAGGGCCCATCTTGGCCTTTGAGGGCCCTCTGCTGGTCTCTGGGGTCCAACGACGGCTCATGCCGGTCTTTTAGGGCCCCACGCTGACCTCTGAGGGCCCATGTTGGCCTGTAATGACCCACATTAGTCTCTGAGAGCCCAACTCGGTCACGGATTGTCTCAAACTACTGGCCTTTGTAGTTTGCAGGCCCTGTACTGGTCTCTGAGGGCCCTAAACTGGCCTCTACGTGAAAAGATACATGGGTGGGTTTCTGAAGATCAGAGGGCTCACGCAGTCTCCGGCACAGCCTTACGTTGGTCCTGATCGAAATTACTTTACTTCCTGATGGTCCCGCGCAGATTCCCTCATATTTCGACGTCGGGACCCCATGAGCCGGTGTGGGTCCTGGGGCTGGCATAGACTGATGAAGTCGTTAGGGCTCAGGGCCAGTCTTTTTAGCAGTAAGACTAGGCAGGTTGAGTGAGCCCCAATAGAGCCGTTGCGAAGCCCCGCAGGAGTCGCGCGCGGCCCTCAGATGCCAATTTTGAAAGCTCGGAACCTGTGGGGGGTCTCCAGAGGTCGGTGTACCTACTCTCTCCCGCCGCCACACAACTAGGTACGTTACCTATATGGGTAGGTAAATGTCATAGTCTGAAAATGCTCTCTGGGTTTCACATGCTTGTTCAAAGCAAGAGGTATCTGTACTTTTCCGAATTGTTTTATAGTGGTAAGGTCATGAATCCGCGTGCCTGACCTTCCAGTATACCTATGCTACACCGTTCCGTCGTCATGGTGCAGTGGGCCGACCGGTGGAAGCACCGTGGGACGGGAAATGGAACTGGTGATTTTGCCTTAAATTGAGCTTAAAGATTTCACGCAAGAATCAGATGGATGAAGCATAAGTAATGCCAACTGCGCGGCACCTCGTGGACGTAAAAAATTAGCCGATCACCCCCCCCCCCCCCCCCTCCCGGTGACGGATAAATGTTATGTCCCGCGAGTGTGACTTTGGCCCCCCCTTTTGCTAGCGGCTGCGACCGCCAGTGCCGTGACTTTAACACAAAAAGCCACAAGCCACATGTACATAAAGGCAGTGACAACGCACGCTGCACAGGCCAAGCAAGGCTGGGAAAGGCCAGCAGAACTGTCACGCGCCCTTCCCTTGCTGACACCCACGTGGTCTGCTCTAATGACTGACCTCACGTTTGTCAAGCAGACGACCAGGGTAGCAGGGAGCACGACAAATCTACCGATTTGGGTTTCATGTCATTATACGTTTATTTCTATGCGAACTAAAGTGATTGCATGTTGAAGCATTTTGATTGGTTTCATGTATCTATTTGTTTAATTGAAAAGCACAACTATAATGTGCAGTTGGTAATCTCTCATCCATGATCCATAGCGTATTTACTTTTGTTTACAAGTCTTTCTTAACCCTCTCCCTCTCTCTCTCCCTCTCTCTCTCTCTCTCTCTCTCTCTCTCTCTCTCTCTCTCTCTCTCTCTCTCTCTCTCTCTCTCTCTCTCTCTCTCTCTCTCTCTCTCATCGCATTACAAAAAACTAACCACCTTACTTGTCTCCTCTCTCCCTTCTCCCTCTCTTCTTCCAGGGTCTCAACTACCTGATCGTCGACCAAGAGCAGCGTAAGAAGAAGGAAGACACCATGGTGGAATACCTGTACTACAACTGGGGCAGACACAACATCTGGGCGATCAAGTACGTCGTCTGCGAGACTCTGAACTTGCTGAACATCATCCTGCAGCTCATCATCACTAATCAGTGAGTGAACTGGTTGTCACTGACAGAGAAACTACCGAGAAATGTGTTTTCAACTGAACATCATAATGACGGCTATGTTAGAGATTGTCCAGTCCTAGGCCATATGCCATCCAACCAATAATTTGAAGCTACGCGGATATAATTTATAAGGAACGCAAGTTCGAGAGCGAGCGTAATGTAGGTATAGTGTTAGAAAATGGCGCTTTTATACCAAGTACGTGAAATAACAAATTAAGAAGACAGTTTCATTTAGAATCTTGTCTCACTGTTTTACTTTCAACTGTTCTCAATCAGTTTAAGTTAAACCCTACATTTTAACATAAAGTCCCGCTAATGAAGCAAAGAGTAATAAAGATATTTTGGGGGGGGGGCAGAAGATGCGCCTATTGTGTAACATGAATTATGTTTCGTCGTTGCTACAGAGCTCAAAAACCCGCTGTCGCTTGCCGTCAGGTTTCTGGGTGGCGAGTTTATGACTTATGGAACTCAGGTGGTCGAATTCATGAACTACGAACCGCAAAACAGATCCGACCCGATGTACGAGGTGAGTAAAAATGCAGACAAATCACCGCATTATCAAAAAATCCCTGCATTATTATGTGAGCCGAGGTGAGAGTGTAAGAGGTGTGTTTGTTTTGCTTGGCTTACTGGAACGTTTTTCAGTTTCTTTTTTACCTCACTGAGATTGATGAATAATAAACATCTGTTCGTGACATAAAAACCAGTATTTGTATGTCAATTGACCTCAGCTTCGCCCCCACTCGAGTGGTGCGGGGGTGCGCTCGATCCAACTCCAACAGCTGGTTCGCTCTAACAGCTGTCCGTCCAACAGCTGTCTGTCCAACAGCTGTCTGTCCAACAGCTGATAATATTCAGTCCGTATTTTAATTGCTGGTCGTCATTACCCTTTTCTTGAGACCAATAGTAACGATTATGCCGCCACAATGCCTACAACTTAGCCAGATATCAATCTACAATCGAGTGGCCACTCTCTCATGGTTCAAAGCTGCGGCTGCGGGTATATTGTCAGGCGTCAGCTGGGGAAGGGCTTTGGCACCTCCTAAGTATTCACAGATCACACACCCAACAGCTGGGCATAATGCTGGGGCCTGGGTGGCACAAATGGCCGCGCCGTGACCTTTCTTGGTCAGTCCATCGAATGGGACACCGCTTAGTGTTCTGCTAACGGTCAAATGGCCCACTGATTTATGATGAAGCATTCATTTAGTCATTTTTTTACTTCTTTTTTTTTACAACCGACGACCACAAAGAATTGGGCATTACGACGCGAAGTGAGAAAAAAAATTATCTGCGTACCATTCGCACGTTTCCTACGATAGCAAACTCGTTAATATTTGCAATTCACACCTAAACATCGTTTGTGCCGCCTTTCAAAATACACGTTCGAAGAGCACGCATGACAGTGTCAAAATGCCAATAAAGTGACCAATAATAGGGTTGGGACCTATCTGCATGCTCTGTATGTTTTGGTAAAATAAAAAAGCTCAGAATTTTTAATGATTTAATTTAAAATCACTTTGTTAAAAAAATGCCTAGTTAGTTCAGAAATTAATTATTTGTGGCTGAAAACAACTTGCTTCTGATTGGTCGGGCTAATCATGACGTCACATGTAGGTATATAACTGTCTGTATATTTGGCGCAGTTAAGACATACATTTTCTATGTATTTTCCTATGGTAAATCGGAGTGATTGGTCGTGTTTTCAGTGTCTCTTTATTTTGCGCTGGTATTGCGTGGCTAAGAAGTTTTATCAAGAATGGCATATACTAAAATGTTCCTTTAATAATGGAGCTTCAATATCTGTGAGTTTTATTGGCAAGCGAAAACTGATTTTGCTGTTATTTTATCTGGAAATGACTCATTTTTTTAGGTCAATATTCAAAATATTTTACGGGAACAAGTTGGCACTTTTCTTGATTTTTGCACTCAAATCGCGTGCGATTTAACTGTATTGGAACTTGCAAAGAAGCTTGGTGATTAATTAACTGTGTTGTTATGGCACTGTTTGCAAAGCATGGATAATGAAACTCTGCCAAAGACTTAGCTACATAGCAATGCCTCAAGTAATACGCAGGAGGGACAGAATTCAGAGTCCGATCGAGAAGAATCGGTGCAAATGCTACGAAGAACAGGCAGCTCTGATACAATAGCTAGTCGTCGCACTACTCTCACTCCATTAGACCAGCTGATTCCTGACAGCACCGACTCGGATGCAAAGATGGAGCTCATTTTCCAAGCCAGAAACCAGTTCTTTGATGGAAGATGTGATGCTGCCTCTGTCTCTGCTTTGTTGGCCACTTTGGACGGGGCGGAGTTCCGCTCCTTGCGTGAGCGGTTATTCGCCTGTCATCCAGAAATAGTTCCTTCGTTTGCTGGCCGTTCCCTGATTAGGTGCAATACGGGGAGCTGTAATCAGGGAAGTAACTTTCCATATGAAAGGGGTGCAGGTGCACCCCCGTCCCCCATCCACTAGAAGTGCACCCCCATAGGCTAAGCGGCGCCCCACACGCCGCCCCACACGATTAGCTCTAGAGCAGATGGCGAGGGTGATTTCTCGGCTACATTCCATCTCGGCGTCGTGATGCTTGTGGGCTTGGAAAGCGTCCAGTCGTATGTAGGGTAGTGTAGGGGTAGGGTTGAGTTCAATAAGGTCCTTACATTTGAAAGGTTTGAACAACCCGCAATCAGCACAACATACCACAAGTTAAATAAAAAACTACCAAACTCCGCCCAACTAATATTAATAAACATTACAGCCAAACTAATGGCCTAAATAAAAATATATCTCAAATCCTAACAGTTATCGCGGGTGATGGCGCCATGAGTTGCTATTATCCAAAACAGATGCAAATAAACATGTTTGTATGTCCTATGTATGTTTGTTTTAAAAACGTTGCAGCGGCGCTGGGAACTGCAGTCTTAGATCTGGGTATGTTTGGCATCTGCAACTCTTCATATATGTACACATTAACCCTATTTCGGACGGGGAGACCTTTCAGGATTTTCTTGTACAATTGCCAAACGCCGCGAGACATTCAGCTCATATTTGGTGACTTTTCCTAAATGCTCATTGCGCACATCTCAGCAAAAAAAAAAAAAAAATGCCGGGTCAGGTCAGGTCAGGTAACCAGAGCGGGTTTGTTGACCCCACCTCAGAAAAGTTTGCAAACACGTCAGAGCTTGAGTTTTTCACGAAGTTATTTCCTCTCATCAAGTCTTCAAAACAGTACCTGCAGTATGTGTCGTTTGTATATTTCAGAATTTTTGAGCTGTGACCTGACTGAGGTTAGGTCAGAGTCGTGACCTTTACATTGCAAGCCTATGGAAAAGTATTGAAATGCGACCTGCACCTCGAGTAAACGAGTCAAAACCACCCAATTCTTTAAGAATTATGACAAATTATCTTATCTGTAATGATCCAGGTGCCATGACAGGGACACCGGAGAGGGTTATCTGAGCCGAGATCATGTGAGGTGATATCTACCATATATCAATGCTCACAATACTTACAATATTGACAATGCTTTTGCTTACAACACTTACAATACTTACGATGAGACCAGCAAGCACTCTGCCGTTACAGTTCTAACTTCTGTTTCGAAAAACGACGTTACACACATTCGCTGCCAGCATAACAACATGTATTGTTTGACAGTAACAAAATACAATTGACATCTGAACCCCAAACGGACCGCCATCCACTCAAATTTTATAACCCTGACCGGTCAGGGGGCGAATGGAGGTCATTTCCTGGGCATTACACTCAGCCCTTGCACAAAATATCTCACCTCACAGTGATCATTACAACAATAGCACCGACTTGATAGTGGATTTCAAAGTACTTGCATCAGCTCTTCCTGCTATTGCAGACGATCATCTCCTCAGGGTAATGTTGTTCGGGACATGAACGAAGATCGTTTTCGGAGTTTCATAAGTGCTACTGCAACAGCCTGGCACAAAACAGGACTTGTACGCTCTTCTCTGCACTTTCCCCTTCAGTATATCACAAAAGAATTGTTTAGAATCCATCTTACGCTTCTTTCACAGTCTCCCTTGCCACCGTAGGGCGTAGATAGATTGCTGTTGCTGGTAAGTTAAGGCACGGTATTAGAAATTAACTCGGTTCTCAACGCCTTAAGTTATTTTCATAAAAAAAGAACAAATAAATGATCAATAAGATGACAGGAATGTAAACATTTTAATCGTAAAGTAGTCCAAATATTGGAATGAGCTTTTGCTTTTCAGCATCCTCCGATTCATCATCTTTATCATTTGAAAATTCGAGGTACATAAAATGTTTATCACGCGCTTATGTTAAGTGGGAATATAGTACACGGCAGACACATCAATTTTTGACACTGAACATTTCATCCGTAGATGTTTTAGCATAATTAAAGGTAAAAACAGTGCGAATGGCAGAGTGAAGCAAACAACATCTTTCACCCATTGATATAACATGTAATCGTGGTGCGCCAGATGCGCCATTATTTGTCAACCGCAGAAGGTGACATGTGACGTAACAGCATCAAGAGCATCTTTTTTCAAGAACTTTTCAAAACAAGTTTCCTATCTTTCTTCCCCCATTTCTCTCAGCTTATTGATTTTATGAGGCAATGGTATGCACCATAAATTCTGTGAAAATAGTTTGATCATTTTCATGCATTCTTAAAAAATCGAGTTCCCAACCCCATTAGAGCTGTCTATTCCTGACGCTACCACACGTGCTGGCAACTGGCAAGTAACGTAACAATACATCTGGACAGCACTGAGGTTATGATTCGCATTACTTCTACCGCTGGCCACCGATTCCAGTACACCCTGTACCTCAGCCTCCAATGACGTCATTTCGTCCATTTCAGATATTCCCTCGCATCACCAAGTGCTCATTCCACCGTTACGGTCCTTCGGGCAGCATTGAGCGTCACGACGCGCTTTGTGTGCTCAGCATCAACATTCTCAACGAGAAGATCTACCTGGCGCTCTGGTTCTGGTTCCTGTTTCTGCTCGTTCTCACCATGTGAGTTGGTTGGAGAGAGAGAGAGAGAGAGAGAGAGAGAGAGAGAGAGAGAGAGAGAGAGAGAGAGAGAGAGAGAGAGAGAGATAGAGAGAGAGAGAGAGAGAGAGAGAGAGAGAGAGAGAGAGAGAGAGAGAGAGAAGGGAGAGAGAAAAAAGAGAGATGACAGTGACGAGACAAGCAGGACTGTCAGTGAGGTTAAGCACTGGAAAAAAGGTGAGAAAAGTGAGAAAGAGAACAGAGAGATTGTTCAATGCTGAGAGTGAAGGGAAAGGGATTCGGAGGATCTGGGGAGAAGTGAATCTCATTTACATAACTATTATTTTTAAGCGTCGAGCATGTGTCGATTTTAGTACTGGTCTCGACTGTGGAATATGTGGAATAATCAATGTATACCTAAAATAAAATAAAACTCCTATGACCTATATGGATAGTAGTTAGCCGTGTTCGCCCTCCGTTTCCACCACTGACGTCATATTCCGCTCTAACTCTGTTCGCCAGTCTGCTCATGCTGTACCGGGTGGCTACGCTGCTGTTCAAGCCTGTCCGCAGTAAGCTGATGCTGGGTCGTAACGCCCGCTACGGATCCCGGGACACAGCCTACTTTGTCGCCGAGAAGTGCGACTTTGGCGACTGGTGAGTGACGTCATATCAGACTGCTCTAATCTTCTTCGCAGTAACGAATTACGTGAACGATAATGGGGTGAACATGTTTGCTATAAGTGAATTGCAGGCTGAGTAAGCTATGATATTTTAATTGCGATGTTTAGGGTTGTAACTGGAAACACAGTCTCAACTCTCAGCCCTTAAAAAGCTTCAAATAACAGAGGGTGAGTAACATACTAAATGATACCTAGCAGTTCTCCCAGTGCCGTAGGTTACTACCAAGTGCATCATCTTTTCCTACCGAGAGTCCCAAGGAGAAAAAATCTCTTTCGCTCGGTTTCGAACCGGCAGCCTCACGGTCCCGCGACTAACTCAGCACGTGCCCTCTGTCGCCAGGTACCTCCTGAACACGCTGAGTCGCAACATGAACGGCCCCGTGTTCGCCGAGGTCCTGAAGAAGCTGACCAGGAAGATGGAGGGAGGTGATGACGCCACCCTGAAAGCTTGAGCGCAACAATCCAAATAAATCGAAGCGGCGAAGCTGATAATACAAGATCGACGATAATAAACAGCACGCGACAATTTTTGAAAAAGTACTGTGCTCATAGTATTTCAGCGGTCAGCTTGTTGTTTCATGTGCATGCAATAAAGTCAATAAGTCAATTAATTATTAAAAGCGGCTATTGCCAACCTTTGCTCAATAAACAATGTGCGACAAGGCTGATTTTGCGCAATAAGGTATTCACTATTCAGGCTCAAATAGTGCTGTTATGGGTGGTTATCTTATATGCATTGATTCGGGACGTGCTGCATCGTTTCTAGTGATATAAAATTGGAATATTATGCAATGTCTCACTTGACTCTAAATAAACGAATGAAAAAGAAGTTTGTTAAAGGAAAATTAGGTGATGCCACTTAATTCATTAAGCGACTAGGAATGTCACAATATTTGAAGCGTTTACGGTTCGTAGTTTGCCCGTTTCTGAAGTCGAAGATGCTTTAACAAAGCAACGTGTAAATCACAAAGGGGCGGCTTTAACCGGTTATTAGAAGGGTGGCCCTCAGAAGTCAACTGAGGCTCCAACTTGACAGTGCGTTTGTGCATGTGCTGCTTCTACAGAAAACAATGTGAAAGTCAAGATGTTCTTCAACACAAAAACGAACTTTCCAATGCCACTCAATTCCATCAGCGATAAGAAGCTAAAATCTCAACAGTACATAGAGATGACCCCGAATAGTGTACAGTCTGTCTTTAAAGTACCGCGCAAAGTAACGGTGGATCCATCAAGCCTGACCGAGGAAGGGCCGGCTAAATTTGAGTCACCGAAGCAAATGACATCCTCGTCCATCCCCCAGTTGAATTGGTTCGGTGACTTTCAAATTATAGCAGGCCCTTCTTCGGTCAGGCTTGATGGATCCACCGTCACCTTGCGCGGTACTTTTAAGACAGACTGTAGGTACCTATTACAAAGACAAGCAAAACCGAATATGCGTTCCTGCACAATGATGACAATCGTGCCCAAGTTTCCTAGCAAACCAGTCGGTGGTAGCCACAAATCCCACAACTCATTAAGGAAAACCCAATAAATGCTTTAAATACATTACATACTGAGTTATTCAAATGAATATACATATTATGTATTCCTAGCAGCTTCAGCATAGATCACCCAAGGGTTTATAACATGAAAACAAAGGCGTTTACCGCCGGGTTACATGATAAACTATCCCTCTAACTGTCATTATCACACTAAGAATAACGGTGATAACCCCGAGCCAAGTGGCAAAAATCGGATATCCCCATGTGTCTATCACCAGTCCACCTCCAAAGGGACCCAGCACATTACCAAACGAAAACGTCGTTCCCAACACGGATGACACCATAGCCTGACTGCGTAGGTTACTCTCCAGACCTCGATTTGTCGAGATGCGGAGCATCAAAGGCACGAGTGGTAGGTAAGCGCCAATCTGAAACACCTCGCGCAGCGTCATCCCCACACCAAGCAGCAGACGGGACGGCTGGAGACCCAGTATCGGTGACGGAGGAATCAGTAGCACGCCGAGCGCGCTCGGCGCCAGGCAGCCGGCCAGTAGGAGGAACGTGTTGTCGACCTTGTCGGAAAGCCGGCCCCAGAGTGGACTGGAGAGTGTGTATCCGGCGAATGAGGCCAAGAAAAAGAGGCTCAGCTCAGCGGGCTGTATGCCTAGAGTGATGTGCACGTACGGCTCCATGGTGGGGTCTAAGGCCGTCCAGTTGAGCGAAAGCATCACAATCGTGGCAATAATGAGCCAGATATCGGCAAAAGAGAGAAACATAAGAAGCATCTCACGGTAGCTTCGGCCTCCGGCGCCCTTTTCACTTTTCTCGATGGGGCGTTCCTTCACTGTCGGCATCAGGGCCAGACTGGTGGCGGCAGTGACCAGGAACAGCGCACCAAGCACGTAGAACGGCAACCCGTAGCCGCCGACGGCGTACAGGGCGCCGCCGAGAGCCGGGCCCAGGCACAGTCCAGCCCCAACCATGCCCTCCTCCAGACTAATGGCCAGGTTGACCCGCTCCGGGAACTGGTTGATGATGATGGTTCGCGCCGAAGTCTGAGCCGCCGAAGTCCCAACGGCTTCGGCGACGCGTACAACCAGAGACCAGGCCAGGAACGGGACGGGCTGGCTGATGTAGCCGAGGATACCGAAAACCACCGTGGTGACGCCAACAAGCACCAGACCAATCATGTAAAGCCGCGTCACGCCGATCCTCGGCGCCAGCCACCCCATAACCGGGAAGGCTAGCACCTGCGAGAGCGCGAAGCTGCTGAAGACTGCCCCAGAGGCGGTGCTGCTCAGACCGCGAGCGTCCGCTTCATGCGTGAAGAATGGCGCGTAGATGAGCATGCAGGTCCCTGCCAGAAGACTGCTTGATGACAGGCAGATCAGCATGCCTACCTGCGAGCGGTTGAGTGACGACAGTGCAGCCATCGAGGGCTTGTCTGTATCGGAAAGGGACTTGGATTCTTCAGCTTCCGGTGAGATATCGTCACAGGGGTCGGATGACAGACCTGAACCAGATGAGTAACAGGACGATGACCATGTATTCCCGCTTTTTGCTGAAGCTTTTGCTGTAGGTAGGTCTGAGAGAAGCGGCGATTTTTCAATATATTCGGATGCCAAACGCTTGTCTGTAGCCGTATCATTCGTCTTTGTGATCGCCATCGCAGCAGCTAGTTCAGTCACAGAACCACCAGAGTCGAAGAAAATTGAGGCCGGAGCAGCAACAGCACTGAAGCTTAGAGGAGGCTTGCGCAGAGGCTGTAGTTGATGTTGAAGAAGAAATGGAGAGCAGAAGTCGAAACTGAAGCTGACGATCTGATAGTTGAACCAGAAGTTGTAGCAATAGTTGTGACAGAGGTAGAGATAGACAGTGATGCAGAAGATGAGGTTGAAGGTAAAGCTGCGTGACAGCACAGCAGCGGTAACCCTAACTTGCTTTTGATGTAGGTGTCACTGATGCCCCGGTAAGATCTTAAAAACGACTGCTGGCGAAACTCTGGTCGGGGTATTTAGAATAAAGGGCCACTTGTGAGGCGAAATCGCCCCACATGTGGCGCAAACTGTATCAGAGCCAATGATAGCGTCTCGCTATTGTTTCGCCGCTGGGAATCTCACAATGCCACATGAAAAGGATGGCAGTAGCCAATAGAACTTCTCACAAGAAGGAAAATTATTCAAATGTTCTTTCTTTTTTTCAGCCAGGGACAGAGCTAGGTAGGTATATACGGATACTTCGGAGACTATAAGGAGTACGTGTCGCATAACCTTATCCAATTTAGTAGCGAGGGGGCGCCACTCCTGACGTTTGACATGCCTGGCCTTTTATTCGCTGTTGCTGACATGCAACTGCAATCCCTGGCTCGTAGCCTGCGTGGGAGCCCTTAAATCAACATGGGAAGGGCCCGTGTTCCCTGCCCCATTGGCTACGCTACTGGTTGAAAAACATATTGCCGATTGCACATTCTATTCAAGAAAGCACGTTGAACGTCACGATCTTTTCTTTGATGCTCCGTCTGTTGTTATTTTTGTCGAAGCCGAGAGATGTTTCAGTAAACCGTGCACGTGATGTATTGTAAAAGCAGTCGAAGTCACAAAAATAATTTGATTTTGGTGCACTGTTTTAGTTTTATCGCAGTCTTTCTCAACAACAAAATTGTTTGTTATTAAACGCATCATTTTCCAAAACTAAATTATGCTGTATTACGCCAAGAGTTACAAGGAAAATAAATCATCTTAACATTGAAGAAGATCAAATATGACCGTCACGTTGCCATGGCGTGGGCGCATTAATACAGAGATCGGACCCTTTTTAGTTAACCTGCCCTAGGCAGGTGGCGATGCCTCAACTTTCCAGAGCCTTCGTCGATGGCCTGAGGGCACGTTACCGCGACCTGCAGTGTGACCTCTCAGAGACGGCGTCCCACTCGGTCACTCTTGAGTCCTCAACGACATTCAGCTCTCGCAGCACAAAGTCGAGAAAGGCACTAGCCGGGAAAAGGACGGCTAGCGACTCGGGCAGCAAGAGATTCAGCACTTATGGCGGTAAGAGGTCGAGGTCCAAATCACTGGCACCAGGCGCGGAGAATTTACCGAATCTGAAGTCTGACGACAAAGATGCAAGTTCCAAGGATAGTGCTGGTGAGGCAAAGAAGGAGGGGTTCGCTGCCAAAATAATGGCTCTTCTCAGTCGTATATGTCCGTGTATGAAGAAGAAGTAACCACGTCCCATTCGAAAAGGCCGCTATTCCGCAGAACCATCCTCTCAAAATGAGGTGCGTGTATTATTGCGATGGAGTTGGTTTTTATTGTTTTTGTTGAGTGTTATGTTTTTATTGCAATGTTCCATTTTAATAAAACAAAGGCTGAGTAAATGCCAGTTTGAACATGCCAGCTACGATCACCGTAACATTTCCTAAATGATCTAACTTCATTTATTTATAAATTCACTTTTTATGATTAAGTTTCTACAAGATAGCGATAGAGCATAGTGCATAAAGCGTATAGCAAAAAGTGCTGTTACGTGAAAAGCGAGTAACATGATAATCTTCTGCACGTTTCTAGATCAATAAAATCAAGACCTCTTTGGGAGGTTTTTGCAAAGTTTGTCGTGTTTTCGGATCAAATTACGTCGTAATTTTAATTTACACAGCTTTGCGCCAATCCACTTCAAATAAGTGATCCTAGTTCCAATGAATTATTAGCTCCTACTGGTTGCAACAATTTATTGCTATGCCATTTCTAATTACATCGTGGTTCAAGAAATACAGCATTCATTGTCAGCAATTGTTATTGATCAAATGATTGTAATCGTATATTTTACTAGCAGGTGCCATTATTGATATTTCACTCATCTTCCTTAAAAATAGAAGAAGCGCTAAAGCAAAGTTTTTATCATTGGGTTGTAATGCCAAGTTTATCCCCAGCGCCAATTCATCGGACAGCATCAAACACAGTTTGCAGACCGTCTATCGCTTCTTTACGTCACATCTGTCAAGACTGCCTGGTCAGCGGCGCTGTCTGTGTTTCGCCAGCTCTACCTCAGACTTTCTGCCATCCGTTCTCACTCCAAGCCATGATCTGCCGATGTGGGATCTGTCGTCGTCTGTTCGCCGCCCTTTGTCCCTGCTTCCCAGCCTGCTGCTACCTCTGCCGCCGCGCGCGGCGACCGAAGCGCCGCGTGGTGGTCGAAACGCGAACTGTTGACCCGGCCCTCTACACGGTTCCACCGGAGGCAAATCAAGGTCCTCAGAATGATCGCAGTGACCCCAGCGAACCCCGAGAGCCCATCGCGCCCCTGGAAAACGTAACAGCAGTGGTGACCGCCGAGATGAAGGAAGAAAAACCGAGAAAACGTTGGGATCAAAACCGGAAACCTGCCTGGACGCAGCAGAGATCTGGTCAGGGTGTCACCTGAAGTGAGCGCTCAGATGACTGAATTTCAAGTCACCAAGATCTTCGAAGCTCGGGTTTACGGGAGCTGCTGCGACCTTTCTTGGGACCATGCCTCGTGTGATCGCCATATCAGAGGTTTTCCTTCGTCTCGAGCAAGGCTCGACTATTTGGATACGAGTGTGGATGTTGCAAAAGAGTGCAAGGACTGGTGTGTTGAAGTCGGACATTACGCCTTTCTATATCTTAGAACGGTGAATGACGATTGGAGAATTTGGTGTCTGATGATCGACCAGCTAGGTTAGATTTGTGTATCCAGATATCAAGTTGCACAGAAACAGAAACCGTCAGTTTAAGTGCTATGGTAAAGTGAATTAACTAAAGCGTTAAGCAGACTGTGCTAAAAAGTGATTCAACTTATCGACTTCTTGGCAGTCTGTTTCGGGCTTGCTGCACAGTGGAATCATTCTAGCGCTTTAATGTACTGGCTTTCCTGTAAACTGTAAAGTGTTTTTTTCTGTAAAGTCTTGTTCGTCGTTCTTGTGTTTTGGTTTGCTCCGTCCTCGGTTATAGTTCTCGTTGCTGTTTTTAAGAATTCAACCTCTGTTCTACATCGTGTTTAATCATTCATGAGATAAACTGTGGCACGAGAATCCCATTTCCTGAGCTGCTAGTGATGAACACTAAAGTCGGACATCCACGGTTGATGCGAAAACAGGGATGACATTTTGTTACAACTTCATTTAACAATAATCCACGACACTCGATTGACACATTTTACAAAGTAAGACACATGTTGACATTACATATTATTTATGTCAACAAACACTAGCGATCCAGCGAATATGTCGCAAGATCGCGCCAATACTGACAACAGCTTCAGTGACAAACACTTGAAGCAGCCCACTCACTTGCAGACAAATTAATAACTTATGCACTACTACCTCTTACAGCTCACCGGGCTATATGCCGTTCGCAAACACGCATGCCTTCACTATCAATACATTCATCACTTAGTACACAGTGTATACTTCGAACCTGGTGAGATTCTGAAATTTGGGCAAGACATGTCGCTTTACGGCGCTAACGAAAAAGCATTTGATCGTTGACATACTGAGACTCAAGACGATTGACCCGATGTCACCCCAGAGAACAGAGTTCTTCTGCTCAGGTCACGTGATCGGGGTCAATGCTCACCCGAAGGGACCAGAAAAACCATTCGTTCGAGCACGACGCGACCCTTGTGACGATCACACAAACGCTTCGAGCGAGTAGAACCTGCAACTCGTGTCCATTGGTCCCGGTTTAATCCCGCACCCCTCTTTGGATCAGAACTGGCAGCGTACGACCTGCCGAGGAACGCTAGAATGACGTCATAAACGCCACGGATAGGTGACTCACTGACACAAATGACGTCACTTTGATAGCGTTGACGTCACACAGTTTCTACACAGCGTTCTTCGGTGCATGCTTTGTGACACCAAGTTTACCGCAAGCACATACTTGATCCACCACACGCACAAACAATGACGAACTTTTGTCGCCGCAATGACATCACACTTCAATGAATGACCTCTCGATGACGTCACACTTTTTCGTCACTGGACTTGTGGAGCGTGCTGTAGATTTCCTCTTGGAACCGGTCGAGGTCAACGTAACCCTGGTTCTGATCCTCCAGCAGCGTCTGTGAATGGAGAAAAAATATAATATTTTTACGATTACTTAACCTTGACATCATGAAAGCAATAGTTTCTCAACACAACTGCAATGTATTTTCGGTATTTTGCTTAAAAATTAGGTTGGCTTGAGCACATGCACGCGTGCTTTGCTCGCCGCCAAAATTGATTACCTTCGACAAAACAGTCCTTATTCACGTGCTAAATTTTTGGTCCCTTTGAAGCGTTTCGTTTTTTTTTTCGTGACCGTATAGCCAAACCTTTTTATAAATCCTACGTAGTTACTTTTTCCAGAAGGCCGTAGTCAAATCCAAAATATTGCGGGATTTTCCTATACATCCCCAGCCCATCCGTATCTCGACCTGGGCCCGGTCACGTACCTCGAGTTCGTTTCTCAGTTCGGTGAAGGTGGGTCGCCAGCTGGGCTCAGCTGCCCAGCAGCTGCTGGCCAGCTGGTACAGCTGCGGATGACAGTGATCGGGACGCTCCAGCCGGTACCCCTCGCGGACCGAGCGCATCACTTCGCGGGCCGAGAGACCAGGGTAGGGCGTGGAACCTGGGGAGAGAGTAGAGATCAGTAGAAGTCAGTAGTCATGCATGGCGAGCTGAACGTATTACCTCCCGGGCTGAGAGACCGGGGTATGAGGGTAGGTTGTGGATTATGTGGAACCCTGTGCAAAAAGAAGAGATTGGCCTAAAGGCAGGCCTGAGAAAGGAGGGTGGGGTGCGTAAACACTTCACAGGATCGTTGATAACTAGACACCGAGAAAAGAACAATGAACATGGAGCTTGCAGCCTAGTCTACTTCAGCGCATCAGCTCAATTTAGGAGTTCCACTCAGCTCATACGAAACAGTCAGCTCGTATACCGTCATCCCGGATCCCAAATCACAACAGAAAAGTATATCCGGCAGTACAGGCATCAATAGCAACTATCAAGCAAGCATCCACGATCCACATCACTACCAGAGTCTTTACGTCACCTAGGTACTTGACCTACTGACGTTCACGCCCCACATCACATTATCACGTCATGTCACGTCAGCGTCACGTACCGAGTGTGATGATTTCCCAGAGCAGTATGCCGAAACTCCAGCAGTCGGTCTGCTGATTGAATGTGTTATGGTACAGGGACTCGGGAGACATCCAGCGAATCGGCAGAGCACCCTGGCGGCAAAAATACAAGTAGTAGTTAGGCTAAGGCCGGGGGGATCCAGGGCGTCGCAAGTCCATCTACGACACGTCGCAAGTTACGACACATGTCCCGTCGCAAGTTGTGTCGTAGCGAAAAAGGAGGGATGTTGAGGAAAGAGGGGTTTGTCGGAGGATACGACAGAACGTAGCTACGACGAGGCTTAAATACCCGCTTTACTCGAGAATTTAAAGGGCTACACGATCAGCTGATCCCGTAGTAAACGTCAATAAGGTCGAAAACTCTATCACGCATAAAGGAACATTCGCCTTTCTGGTTTGCGAGCTTATGAGACAGCAAGGTCAAGCATATTCTCTGATTCTGAAGCTTTGTATTAACTAGGTGACTTGTGGTTGCTAACGCTCACGTGATTTGCCATAAAATTTGGGATCGATGGAGATTCGTGGCTATAGGGCATCTAGAATCGATGCTTTAGAAGAAATGAGTTCCGAGAGTTTGAGGTCACAGAGAGGTAAGAAATTTGTAGATGGAGGTCACAATTGGAGGTTACAGAGGTCATCTGGGACACGTCAGGTCACAGAGGTCAACTTGGGGTCATCACAGAGCTCAATTGGAGACCACGGAGGTAATCTGAGACACGTCAGGTCACAGAGGGCAACTTAGGGGCACGTCAGGTCACAGAGGTCAACCTAGGGTCATCACAGAGCTCAATTGGAGGTCACGGAGGTCATCTGGGACACATCAAGTCACAGAGGTCAACTTGGGGTCATCACAGAGCTCAATTGAAGGTCATTGGGGCCATCTGGGACACGTCAGGTCACAGAGGTCAGCTTGGTGCCATCAGAGAGGTCACTTAGAGGTCACAGAGGTCATATGGGACACGTCAGGTCACAGAGGTCAACTAAAGGTCATCAGAGAGCTCAATTGGAGGTCATCTGGGACACGTCAGGTCACAGAGGTCAGCTTGGAGTCATTAGAGAGCTCAATTGGAGGTCACGGAGGTCATCTGGGACACGTCAGGTAACAGAGGTCAACTTGGGGTCATCACAGAGCTCTATTGGAGGTCATGAGGGTCATCTGGGACACGTCAGGTCACAGAGGTTAGCTTGGGGTCATCATAGAGATCACTTAGAGGTTACAGAGGTCATATGGGACACGCCAGGTCACAGAGGTCAAGTTGGGGTCATCACAGAGCTCAAATGGAGGTCATCTGGGACACGTCAGGTCACAGAGGTCAGCTTGGAGTCATCAGAGAGCTCAATTGGAGGTCACGGAGGTCATCTGGGACACGTCAGGTCACAAAGGTCATGTTGGGGTCATCACATAGCTCTATTGGAGGTCATGGGGGTCATCTGGGACACGTCAGGTCACAGAGGTCAGCTTGGAGTCATCAGAGAGCTCAAAAGGATGTCACGGAGGTCATTTGGGACAGGTCAGGTCAAAAAGGTCAACTTGGGGTCATCACAGAGCTCATTGGAGGTCATCGGGGTCAGCTGGGACACGTCGTTTTTGGAATTGGGAGAATATTTTGGGGGATGCCCCTTGCAACGTCCAAGACCGCCTTTCTGGATTCGCCAGTAGTTGCTGGAATGGTGTTAGGCTACTTCATATCCCCGAATACCCCAATAAATGTGAATATAACATATTATGCACCATTTTCAACACTCTCGCTGGCACGGATTGAGGCCTCATAGACGACCCGTCAGTTCAAGCTCTATAACTCGCGTTAGCGTCAACGGATTGCAACCAAATTTTCAGGGTCTAAAGTTTAAACAATTTCACACCTACCATGTAAATTTCGTGACCATGACCCGAATGACCTGTGACCTGTGACCTCTTCCTCAAGGCAAGGTCAACTTGCGACACAACTTACGACTGCTATTTCAAATTCGTAAGTTGTGTCGCAAATCAGGCTATTTGCGATAGACTTTACTACTTAAGTAACGCTACTCATCGATTGATCCCTTCAAAAAGGACTTACTACACAACTTGCGACACGTCGCAGCTACGACGAGGCTTACGACGCTCTGGATCCCCCCAGCCTAACTGTTATAGATGACGCGCAGGTTTGAAACTTCTCCGTTCGCTGCTCTCCAGTGCTAAAACAATCGAGCAAATACCAATGGTATCGACACTTGACAGCAGGCCAGCTCATGGCCATATCGTCGGGAAGAATTCCCTTATCACACAATATTACATTCTCATTTGCATCGTGCGAAAATGCTCAAAACGAAAAAAACGCATGGGAGAACTCTAAACAAGCGTCACTCACAACAGAGACACAAGACAAATGTTTATCGTCGGTCGAGACTCGATAATCGATATCCTTTTGGTGGTACCTATCATCATCAGCATCTGGTCGTCCAAGATGATTCTAAAAAGGTTCTTTGGACTGAGGAGGCAGGAGCGGGCTCTAGGCTATAAGTGCTCAGCCTATGAGCCTACTCACTACTCAGGCTCACCTCCCCAGCCGCTCACGGCTTGGGGTAGGGGGACGGCCGACGGGGCAGGGGAGGGAGGGGGGGGGGGGGGGGGGGCGCGGAGCGGCCGCGCCGGAGTGGTATCGGCCGGTCGCGCATGCGCAGTGCCCGATGTTTCTGCGCTGACCGCCGCGGGGGACCGGGCGCCGGCGTCGGGGTCGTGTGTCAAGGCTGGACTTGCGGGTGATGTGATTAATTGTTTGGATTTAGCTGACTGTGGTGCGTTTCTGAAGTGAAGTGTTCTAGTGCGGCGCGAGGTAGCGCGAGTGTCGACTTTCGGTGTTCATCGGACCACTGAAAACGTCTGTTCCGAGGCGTTCCGTGTCAGTGTGAGGACTGAGGAGTGTGATATTGTTCATATTTTTTATGTGAATCTGGCAAGAATCAACGATATTGTCGTGGACGATGAGGGAGCCAAGCGTATGCAGTGGTGGAAACAACTCAAGGTAAGTCCGACTCCAATTTTATTCGCGTTTATTGGCGAATCCCATCGCATTTGTTACTTGGTGAAATTGCGTCTTGACTGGCCCGCGCGGCGCGCTGTGACATTGGCGCGAATGTTCAAAATGATTTCGAACGTTTTATTATTTACAAGATCAGATCGAAGGTCACGCCATCTCAGGTCATCCATAGGTCATATTTTCCCGCTTTCGACATCAGAATTCGTGAAAAATCGATCATAGTTCTGCACAGACCAACAGAGCAAAAACGTCGATAGCAAGACGGGAACGAGTGACGTGATCGATGAGCTTAAAGATAACCGCACAACTTTGTTTCAATTCATCCAATTCCAGAGTAGACACTTTCGATGCCTCTAAAAAGCATTTCCCGAATAATGATACCTGTCATACCCACAAATACCAACTCGCACAAATCGCTCGTTCATAATCGAGGCTCAACATATCTCCATATACCTCAATCATGAGTTGCTATTCATAACCATCCACATCTCCCTCTTTCCCCTTCACCCCCACCCTATCATCCTTCCCCTTACCCTCTCCTCATCTTTTCACTCCCCCCCCCCCCCGCTACTCACCCGGTGTTTCTGTTCAAACACCTCCGCGCTGATCTCTTTGACACTGCGCGACATCCCAAAGTCTGAGACCTTACAGACTTTGGTGTGATCTACCAGAATGTTACGGGCCGCCAGGTCGCGGTGCACGATCTGGAAAAACGACACATAGGTGTCAGTTGTGTCAGATGTAAAACATATCAGGTGTCAGACCTGCATAGAATGACTCGTGATTATATCAGAGGGCTTTAAAAGGGGGAATATTTGTTTCTGGTCCCTAAAAAGCTGTTTCTGGCACCTAATTGCTGATCAGCCCCAAAATGCTTATTCGACCCTAATATCTGAATCTGGCACCTAATTGCTTCCACACAGCCTAAAGTTGCCAGATCGTCTAGTTGAACTCCGTATTTGCTGTTTGCTGATTCAGCACCAAAACCAAAACATCCAGCACCTATTTTATTCCACGTTTGCCTACCTAATTCGCGTAATCTTCCTGATTTTATGTATCCTAACAACATGAACGTTGCATTCGGTGATGTCAAGTGCCATTTTCGCCAGTGGAGATAATGATTAATGCCATTTCTAGCCAAAAGAGAATCACTAGCCAGCTATGGTGCAGCATAGCAAGACGCTCCTATACCAGCCCGCTATGTAGAGACTAGAGATTATTGCACCCTCAGCCATTTTAACGTGAAAAGTTTGGATCCGTCACTTCCAGCCAGGCTCTAAGGTCATAAACTGGAGTAAAGCAAAATGTCAACTCTGAACAGACATGCCACGCAACCGGCCCTCTTTTCAATATTATTAGCTTTCTGCAATCATCGTCTGACTCCATCTCGATCAAACGCAGCATCCGGTTTCTACAGGGGCGTTTGACTGACCGGCCACACAATAACCAAAAACAAAATCAAAGCTTCATGCACACATATGACATAAGTAAGAAACGGATGAAAAAGGCACAACCACGGCACAACTCTGCGCGGCAAACAACGGACAATGTCCCACGCAAGATCCCGCGTTTCTTCAGCGGCCTTGAACGGAATGAAAACATTACATTTCTTTTTTGGAGCTATTTGATGACGTCAAAAAATACAATACCCGTTTTAATGGTCAAAATCGAGACAATTACTCACAAAAATGTTTCCCTTTAAGCATTACAAATAGATACTTTTAAATTTTTAAATGACATTTTTTTTCAAACAAATCAATATTATTTGCTTACTTAAACGTCATATACAATGCTGAGATCACTACGGGGCTGTCTTAGAGTGTAGCTGCACTGGCAACCTTTAGGCTAGACTCCAGGGGTCATTATACCAGAACAACATGATTCTACCAGCCAGTAGTTCATTTTTCTACTAGATTGGTGCTACGCTCAGCATTTAGGTGCCAGATTCAGAAAAAAAGAATAAGGCGTACCGATGAATAGGTGCCAGAAACAGCTAATTAAGGTCATTTTCCGTGATTGGTGCTGGTATCCACCAAATAGGTGCTGAGGACCAATTTTGGGGCGAGTCAGCTTTAAGGTGCCAGAAATAGCTTTTCTGGGACGCAATTAAATGGCGTCCCTTTAAAAGTGATGAGCTGCCTTGTTGAGTGTTTATTTCTTTCTTTATCTAGGCATACCACATAGCTTTTCAGTGCTATGCTTTCAGATAGTTACATATAAATAGCTTACACACATTAAAGCTAGAAACTTATATCACTCCTCACTGAACGGATTTTCTTTTTCATAATCAATGCAAACGAAAAGATTCCCAAACGTACCCCTTTTCCGGCGATGTACTCCATCCCGGCGGCCACCTGGCACGCGAACAGGGTGAGATCCGGTGAGGTAAGCACGGCAGAGTCGTGTGAGAAGTTGTAGTAGTTGTGCCGGCCGCGGTTCTCACGCAGGTAGGTGAGCAGCTTGCCGAACACCATGTACTCCATAATCACTAGCACCGGCTCTGAGGACGGAAAGTCGGGGGCGTGTTGGGAATCGAACCCACGGCTGAGAGGCAGCAGGCACTTCGAAACAAGTCAAAGGAGATTAACACTCGCCGGACCTATTGGTTTTCTACATACGCGCCGGCCGAGGGGGGGGGGGCGGGTACGACCCCCCCTCGCCGTTTCGCCCCTGGTGGAGCTAGCGCGTCGCGGAAAAAACGAGCGTGTGCGCCGTTACGAGACGCAGAGATTGGTACCCGATTTTAAGGTCCTAGGTCAACCGGTGACCTCTGAGGTCAGGTCAAGTGCCCCAGGGTACGGTTCAGTTTTTGGTGAATAACTTCGCAAAAAACGGCCGCAGAGCCGCGATTTTGGCAGCATCGTGTTCGCCTCGCTTAGGCGCGTCGAATGATATACTTTTTGTCCGGGTCAGGTCAACTTGGGGTGTTGACCTCAGGTCAAGGTCAGGTCAGCACCCCCAGGTCACGAAGTTGGTCGAAAGAGGTCATGTCGCATATCATTCGATTCGGCAGATCTTCCCAAGTTCATTGGTGGCTTTCTCGACTCGCTAGCTCAATTTGATCAAGAGTTATTGACGAAAAACTAATATGACCTTGATGACGTCACAAATGACGTCACGCAAGGTCAACATTGCAAAAGTGACGCATCTAACCTTGCAAGGAGTGCATCAAATCACGATTCTGTGTGCTTGAGATAGTTGGAGATCGTTCCCGGCGCCAGAATAGCAGTTTGAATTTTTCCCCATTGACTTATAATGGTGAGGTCACGAAAATGACCTGACCTCATATGACCTTTAGGAAAAATCCGAGATATACAAGTTGTGAGACTCATAATGGATACTAGATCCTGCAAGTTTCATTTCCCTGTGACATCTCCTCTGGCAGTGAGGGCGTTGCGAAGTTGCGACATCTGAAGACCGTGCAGAGGTTCACTTATGACGTCATAGGTCAGTGACCTGACCTGACCCAAAAATGCGGTTGGTGTCAAAAGATGCGGCTTGGATCAAAGGTCAGGTATGCCAAGTTTCATCTCTCTATCGCCAGCGTGTTCGGAGCTATCGCGAAAAAAACCTATGGGGGGGGCGGCACCCGCCCCCCCCCCTCGGCCGGCGAGGGTTAAAACGGCATGTCGAAGTGGAGCTTTGCTGGCACCAGGTAGGGAAGAATACAAGTTATTTTTGTTGTATTTTGATATAATCTATTGTCAGAATAATGAACCGACTTGCGCTTTCCGTATCCAATCAGACACTCGGGAAACTTTACTCTGACCGATCAAGCTGTTGGTTTGCCTGTTTATTCAGTTCCGTCCCCTTGATCTCACCTTCGGTGGTGCAGCATCCAAGTAGAGTGACCACGTTGGGGTGACTGCCCAGATCCTGCATGATCCTCAGCTCCCTCAGCAGGTCCTGAAAATGACGTAGGCATGACAGGAGAGTTGGAAAATGACTTCATTGAACTACTTATTTCGCCGCTATTTATTGCACTTACTACGGACTTACTCACGCCAACAACAATCGGATGGAACATTGCAGATTTTTACTCTTTCAACTCTCGATGGTGAAGCCGTTTTGTCAGTGGGCTCATCATTATCACCGACAATTATCATTAAACATTCTTCCAATAAACACCGATTGTGTGTTTAATGTTTATAAGGGATATTTTCGTAGCGATCATGACGTGAGTGGTTTACTGCAGTCATGCCGTCATTTGTAAAATTCTTAAGATGCTCAGGTGCTAACAGCCGTAGTAAACGTAGGTTCCAAAAAACTCGTCGCTTTGGCGTGGCTATTAACATCAAGGACATGTCAAACAACCGTATTGTTCGTATCTTGGCGTCTAATAAACCACCTGAGACAAACCATGTCAGAGGGGCGACTAACTCAACCACAAAGATTGACATGGTACCCAATAAATGTCGTAATACCGTACTGAAATGTGCCAATGCGTGGTAGGTACTTCACAGTGAGAAAGAGTAAGATTAATCCGAAAGCTCGTTGTAAACAAGTGATTGTTTTCTTTTGAAGGGGTGAAACAGTCACATGCTCAAGCTGAAAGACGATGGTGCCGTGCATTGCATACCATTGCAAAATCATGTGTTCAAAGGTTTCCAAGAATGTGCTAATAAGGAAACGATAAATTGAAATATTTTACATACGGACTGATTAACAGAACTCCTGATGGCAAATGTCTGAGAACTGAAGGCCCATTTTCTCAGTAATTATCTATATTATGATTTATAATATTTCGTAATTTTCATATCTCACATGTTACCTGTTCAAACAATGATCTGAATAAGTCGAGTTCGTAGATCGGTTACAATAGAAAATAATAGCAGCACCGCCGCGTAACACCCAAATATGTCGGGCATTCCCCAAAATCATTTGATCCTGACTGACCTGACCCTGACCCTGACCCTGTTATTGTGGCACGGTGCAGTTTCTAGTTTCTACCGGTATTGACATTAGACATCGAAATTTGTGTGAGATTGAGATGCTTCTTAACCCTCGCCGGACCTATTGGTTTTCTACATACGCGCCGGCCGAGGGGGGGGGGGGGGCGGGTACGACCCCCCCTCGCCGTTTCGCCCCTGGTGGAGCTAGCGCGTCGCGGAAAAAACGAGCGTGTGCGCCGTTACGAGACGCAGAGATTGGTACCCGATTTTAAGGTCCTAGGTCAACCGGTGACCTCTGAGGTCAGGTCAAGTGCCCCAAGGTACGGTTCAGTTTTTGGTAAATAACTTCGCAAAAAATGGCCGCAGAGCGCCGATTTTGGCAGCATCGTGTTCGCCTCGTCCAGGCGCGTCGAATGATATACTTTTTGTCCGGGTCAGGTCAACTTGGGGTGTTGACCTCAGGTCAAGGTCAGGTCAGCACCCCAAGGTCACGAAGTTGGTCGAAAGAGGTCATGTCGCATATCATTCGATTCGGCAGGCCTTCCTGAGTCCATTGGTGGCTTTCTCGACTCGCTAGTTCAATTTGATCAAGAGTTATTGACGAAAAACTAAAATGACCTTGATGACGTCATAAATGACGTCACGCAAGGTCAACATTGCAAAAGTGACGCATCTAACCTTGCAAGGAGTGCATCAAATCACGATTCTGTGTGCTTGAGATAGTTGGAGATCGTTCCCGGCGCCAGAATAGCAGTTTGAATTTTTCCCCATTGACTTATAATGGTGAGGTCACGAAAATGACCTGACCTCATATGACCTTTAGGAAAAATCCGAGATATACAAGTTGTGGGACTCATAATGGATACTAGATCCTGCAAGTTTCATTTCCCTGTGACATCTCCTCTGGCAGTGAGGGCGTTGCGAAGTTGCGACATCTGAAGACCGTGCAGAGGTTCACTTATGACGTCATAGGTCAGTGACCTGACCTGACCTAAAAATGCGGTTGGTGTCAAAAGATCCGGCTTGGATCAAAGGTCAGGTATGCCAAGTTTCAGCTCTCTATCGCCAGCGTGTTCGGAGCTATCGCGAAAAAACCCTATGGGGGGGGCGGCACCCGCCCCCCCCCCCTCGGCCGGCGAGGGTTAATATCATTCAACAACAGAGTTATTGTCGCGTCTGTAATTTGTGCTACGGATTGTAAATTTATGCAACTGAGCCGCCTAAAAAATGTTGTCTGTTATCAATGGAAACCATCAAACAATTACTTTACCGATATGAATTTTTCACTCGTGTTATGTGGAGCAATGCTGGCGTGAGATGACGGGGAATAAATGGGCTGTGCTCGTCGGCTTTCTGCTGGCCAAACAGATCAAAAGTGATAGGTAATGGATCAGATTGTTTTTGCATGAGCTGCACAATGCGCACACGCCCTTGTAATTATCATCAGTTTGACAAACACTGATCAAGATTAGCGCACATAAAAATGGAGCGTTCACAACAGTCGTTTAAAAACATTAGGCACATAGGTAGTTCTGTATATAGAGAAGTCTATAAGTTAGGCTTTAGTGTTCCATAATCCAAGCTCTGAAAGTGATATCACACACTCCGGCATTTGAATCATTTATGCACGTTCCCAATTTTCGCCGTCAGATCTCAATGCCCGGTGAAAGGCTGCAGCGGCAGGCAGTGTGTTATTCAACCAGCTCGGTGTTGGCAAATGCATCCATATAGCCAAGTACCTGATGCTCCTTGGCGGTCGCGCTCTCCTTGGCATTTTTCACAGCGACGAGTAGGGTGCCCTGGTGACCTCCGATGTTATCCACCTCGGCTCTCCACACCTGTAGGGTCAGGTCAGGTCAGGTCAGTTAAGTATTATAAGACACGATCAGGTCAGGTCAGGCTAAGTCAGGTCAGTTAAGTACAGCCCACCGCTAAAGTAATGTAAGGTTTTACCAATCTCAACGGTTGGCTTTGACTGGCGATTGTTTAATGCGGAGTGATCGAAAAGAAGATGTCAATAGCTAAAGTTGCAGCTGCAAGGGTGACGATACATATAAGCTACATTCAAAGTTTCATTGTAGTCTGGCTAATCGTTCCTAAGCTTCAGAAGCAGAACATACCCATGACTGAAACCCCACATTACTTCTGCTGTGGACTGTACTATGAGACACGATCAGGTCAGGTCAGGCGGGACCAGATCAAATCGCCGTAGATTAGGTTTTGCCAGATAAGGATATTTCACCTCCACGGATGGGGTCAGGTCAGGTCAAGCCAGGGGGAGGTCAACTCAGGAGAGTACAGCCCACCTAACTTAAATATTATGATAGCACTGAATTTACTGTGCTTGTGATTATGATGATTAAAAAAAAAGTCGACGCCGAAGACGTTATTTAACATTTTGGTATTCATGCATATAGCAATCGTGGACGTATGACGAGCTGATTTCTGTCAGGATAAAGACGCACTCTCTCACGTCGACTGGCTTTATTTGACGTTTCGATGCCAAAAAGGGCTAGCCGAGAGAGAGTGAGAGTGAGAGTGAGGGGGCCACACCCAACCCCGTTTGATCGGTCAGGCACTAAAAACTGGCCCGGTTCTCTGTGACTGGGCCCCGGAAGGTGCAGTGAATTGGTATTGGGTTGATAGTGTGAAGGTGATCTTCGCGACGGTAGAAGTGTTCACCATTTGGCTTATAGGCTCTCAGCCACCTTACGTTAGGACTGATGAGCATGTGTGCTTGTCTGATAGCTGGTGCTTTACATGACGTTATGGATGATTAGGAGAATGATTGTTGTTATGGTGGATGCTAACTAGAAGTGTGACTTTGAGATTCCTGGGAGCAAACGAACGCTAATAATGGCGACAAATAATGTCAGTGAAGATGAGTGCCCACGTGAATGTTTGATATGTTCACACATTGCTCGTTACGAGACTTACTTTGGGTGACCTCCAAAATCGAGCATGTACTCGTATGGGAACTCCTGCTTGAAACGTATCTATTGTGTAGTTTCCCAAGGCTGCAATAATCATACGTGTAGTGCAGTAGTTGTGGTAAAATAAGCATGTGTGCGACCTGCTTGACACGAACTTTAGGATCTTCTCCGAACAATCTTGCGAACACGGCTGTTTGGATGGTTGCCGTAACATTTTTATCGTTTACAAGCTGGAATAACGTGCGATAAAACTAAGCTCCTGATTGCTCGGTCATGTTTCGTCAAGGATGGAACGTTGTAAGTTTGGTTTATAGTACCTTGTTGACAGCTACGTGTGGACGGGGATGACCTGTATCATAGTATGCGGCATGCTCGGTGCCTCTTATGACATAGATAACCACACAAACAAAAACGAAGATCGCGAAAGGGAGCGGAAACCAGTGTAGGGTTCTGTAATCTGTACTCATAAGTCGTACAGCGTACGGAATGGAATTTCTTACGTCCACGTTTACTCACCTGACCAAAGTGTCCCTCTCCGAGCACGCTCTGCAGTCGGAGCGTCTCCCGGGGGTGCTCCCAGCGCCGCCGCCGGGCCAGAGTGTCGTGAGACTGTCGAGTGGAGAGAAACGAGTCGTCAGAAAATCGGAAATGTGGCAACTGCAGTGATGTAGAATTTAGAAATGAATGAGAGGGCCACGTTACAGCATAACTTGGCGGGGTTCTTAAGGTGCGGAATGCTGATGTTACAGAGGTGGGTGTCAACGTTTGTGCGCCGAAAAAAAAAAATTGAAAATGAAATCTTTAATCGAGCCGGAAAAAGTACGAGAGATCAATCTCACTCACCCGCACCAATCTCAACACCGAACCAAGCAAAGGCCTTAAAACGAAAAATGACAGAGGGAATCATTTTCTCCGGACGCAACTGCCACGATTCTCATGACATCCCCAAAAAAACCTTCGCAAGAGATTATTGTTGCCGCACAATACAGATGTTACCAAGAAAAAGACCACCCAAATACAGCCGTTCGAGCATGGGTCCCATGCATCTTCTGGTCATGGAAAGTTAATAATTAGCTGTGTGAGCAGCTGGTTGCTACTCAGCCTGGCAGCTTTTCCCGCAGTAAATCAATAGTGTCCAACAGAGTGTCTTTTGTTCTCATATAAATCTCAGTGCCATGATACGAATGTTTGACAGCTGCTGAAGGCTTCACTCAGAAACAAAAACTGAGCACAAGTATAGATCTCAAGGCCATACGTCACCATTCAATCTCACTAGGTGATGCATTGCATGTTGCTTTAAATGCGTCGCTAGGTCGGTGATCGTAGCGAGCGCATATTATCTATGGTGCTGGCTCGGAATTGTGTGCTTCGTTTTGCGATGCAATTTTAAGTAAAGTAGCTCTTTAGCACACTTTTTGGGATATAGGTAACAAAAACTTCTTGCATACAATTAATGACACTTATCGGTCATTTCCATGCTTGAATATCGAACAATCAATGACGCTTATTTCACCTCAGCGGTAGACTGTCATCTCGGGTGTAACTGAACTGCTATGACAGTGCATTTGATACCATTCTTTCGATACATGATACCTTGATACCGTTGCGGGGTCTATCGGCGCCCAGACTGGAGAGGTCATCGGCACCCAGACACCAGGTCCTCAGCAACCCGGTGTCATCTCAATACACGGACTCCGTTCTCCTCTCTCCTGTCCGTGAATAACCGTGATCCACGCTCCGTGAGTCGGTCACACCCTTCGTGATAACACGACCATTTCGTGACGGGGCGGCGCCGGGCCGAACTGCCGGCGATTTGCCAACTGGGAACCGGTTATAGGTGGGTGGTCGTGACGACTACAGGGAGGAGGGAGAGGGAGAGGGAGAGGGAGAGGGAGAAGGAGAGGGAGAGAGAGAGAGAGAGAGAGAGAGAGAGAGAGAGAGAGAGAGAGAGAGAGAGAGAGAGAGAGAGAGAGAGAGAGAGAGAAAGAAAGAAAGAGAGAGAGAGAGCGAGAGAGAGAGAGAGAGGGAGAGGGAGAGAGGGAGGGAGGGGGAGAGAGAGAGGGAGGGAGAGACATGAGTGGGTATCTGTGTCCGTGGCTGGATGGGTGGAGAAAGGGAGGAGAGATGAACGGACAGCAAAGAAGAAATTCGATAACGGACAAGGGCCTGATGCGAAGAGTCTTTCCATTTTTAGTTCCCGGTTAAACCTCATTGCATAGAATTCGTAGGCAGCTCATAACAGGTAGATGGCAGGCAGCTCACTTGTCGTTTCGTAGAAGACGTAGTACAAAACCTCTGGATCAGGAAGCTGTAAGTTTTGTATACAAAGCTCCACGCTTCAGGCAGGCATTGCTGAAAGTCAGTAACAAAAAGTAGTTTCTAAATCACTACGTTTGCGGTTTTAATCGTGAAAATAAGTAGATACATCTTGCATGTTAGGTAGCCAGCAGCTTGCGAATACGATAGCTAAGATTTGGACGATTGTGCACAATCATGCCCGCATCGGCGAGTGAAAACGCTGTCATCAGCTGCCCATGCTGAAATCTCAGATGCTGCATGATTGACAACCATGAAGAGAGGTGAGTGTTGTTTTTCGCAAGACGTTTCCCATATGCATCATGTTGCACCCTGAAATGCACGATGAAAGCTCAGAAGGTTTGTAGAAACCGACGTAACGGTTATGCGCGACCACAAACCCTGGATCCATTAAGCGTTTGATGGGATGTATGCCAGCAATACTCCCACCGTTCTTAGTCCTATGTGCAGACCAAACTGGTTACTGGTATGTTGTGCAAGTGATGAACAGCGTAGCTTCTCAGCGTGGCTCTGTGATGCAGCATGTTCTGTTCATAACGCATGCTTCGGTATGTTTTGCTTTTAGGCGTGCTAAGCGCTTGTTGTTTTTCTCGTAAAACTGCTTGTAAATGCTGGGCTCAGAGTTCGCAGAAGATATTTCTGATATTTCTTATCTTTTGGGATCAGTGCATTTCGTGCTTTAAGCAGATCACACTGTTAAGTTTATCATAGTGAAGTGTGTCTTAGTATCATCACGTCCCCAATAATTCTCACGGCACTTTTGGAAATTGAGCCACACCGTGCAGGACATTTCACAACTATTGTCTTTGTATAGGTATTAGCCAGGTATGCATTCAATTAATGACCAGCCATTGTCTTTCTTCCTTGCGTTCATTGCAAGTTTGTTATCGAATTTTAGCAGAATATTTAGCGACTGGCATTACTATTACTTGACGTTATTGCAGAGCTAATCCTAGATAGTGTTAAGGTCGAGGCAATTTTTCTTTCCGCTCCCTCATTAACACACCTTAGAACAGATTTAAATGCGACTAACCCTCGCCTTTAGATCACTCACGTGCCACATACAGAGCGAAACGATCGTTTAAACGAATGAGCGCATTCTTCACGCTGAACGCTACAGCATACATCCATTACGAGGCTATTAGTGTACCACAAAGTCACTCTTATTGCCCGAACACCAAATATGTGGGGCTTAACTGCCAGCTATGCCGCTTCGAACGTCCATGTCTTTGCGGTGGCGTGTTTAAGCTGCTGTACCACTCCTTTTAGGCCTAGCCTCTTTTAGTCCTGCACGCGGCTTTGCATTTTAAAATCCTCTGACTCGAAGTATTATATGGCCGGCTAGGAACATGATTGGCAAATGCGTCAATGTCAAACTAACGAAGGCGGATGGTCCGGGGTCGAAGGGTCACGTGACCCGCCCATGGCCTTCGTGTGCGCAGACCAGAGCTCCTCAACTGGGGAGTGCCAGCGTTAAGGTCCTTCGGCGTTCAGGGCGTGGATGAAATGTAATATATGAGCAGCCATTTAGCCGACCAGTTAGCTTTTGTGTGATTCAAATGCGTGTTGTTCATTAGTGTAACGAGAACAAGGGTCACATATTGATGACACCTTTCAATGAATGATGAAATTTATTAAAGAAGATGCTCGAATCTCAATGTAACGCATGTCGTGGTCGAGGGTCGGTAATCATGTTTTAAGGTGGTAAAAATATTCATGAATATTTTACCTGTCAGATCTATCATTGGCACTTCTGCACAGGTCTGAGTGCAACGTCGGATGATCCTGGAACGAATGCCCTTGGGGACAAGAAGACACTAATCAGGTATTCATGAGAGTTGCGATTATTTATGATTGTCATAATTCATAAGCTCCTAACCACAAGAGCTGATCAGTCTCAGTTTCAGCTACAACATAGGATGCTGTGAGTGTTTTCATAGTCCATTATTAGTCACGGGAACAGTGCAATAAATCTTGACAGCCGTCAACGCAACTATTAAATGCAGCGGGGTACCAGGGGTGGCGTAGAATATGATGACATGGTCCCATGCGATTGAATTTTGCAAGTGCATTGGTGTGCAAAACGGTGGTCATTGATATTCCGGCGCAGTCCTTTACTTCAAATTGGTTATTGCCCATTCTGATAAATAGCTATGACCTTCGGCTGATGAGAAAATGCGTAGTCATAGATACACATGTAGTTTTGCGTTATCAATTAATCACTCCATCAGTTGATTTATAATTACACATGTGCTGGTTGCATGCTTAACGAGCCTAATTATATCTATCAAGATTTCTTTAGGCAATTTCGGTAGTAGTTAGTGTGGCATTGAACTACATACATATGTTGGTAGCTTATCTACGATATCGAGTTAAATTTTAAAGCAATCCATCCATAATATCATGAGCACATCCACAATATCATTAGCACTTACCACTCAGCAATTAGAAATATAAATGCTTAATACATCTATAATTTTAACATTAAGGCTAGTTCAAAAGATCGTTGAACGTCATTCAACATATGCTTTCGGCTGGAAAAAGATTGATCTCCCGGTATTGAGAATGGATTTGAGCTCAACCTAAATTTCCGTCGAAGCAAGTTGTATTTGAGTTATAAAGCTATTCGCTAAGATAAATTTCAAAATAGATTAGCCTGCTGCGATCGACGTTCTTTTCATAAAAAGTTAAGACGCACACTGCTTGGGAGATGGGTGCATCGCATTCTCTCCTTTCAATGAATCGGCGTAAAATCAGCGGGCGGTGTTACGTCATTCTACTAAATCTCATTGCACACTCACAGTTTTATTCCAGCACGGTGTAAAAAAAATGTAAGTCCAGATAATAAAGCTCAGATTATATGTCAAGTCAGCTTGCCCGTTACACAACTTCCAAATCAGTTTGAATGTTTGTTTTGTTTGGAAAAATAATGCAGAGCTTTTCGTAGCTATCTTGAAAATGATAGAACCCATGGGAAAATGTGCAGGAGTTTTGCGTGAAAACCATTTTGCTACTTCTACGTCATAAGTCTGTGGCAAATTTTTGAACGGTGCTCACTGCTCAGTGCTCGCCCAAATGCACGTGATCTAAAATTCGGTTCGTCATGGGTCAAACAGTAAGCAATATTCCCTAACGCCTATCTCGACTAAGCGCAGCCAAGAAACCACTGATCATGGTTCCAGCCCTGCCGAGATAGCTGGTCGGCCCGCCTTCGGGGCCGCAAGCCGCGGTTGGCTTGCAGCTACACTCCGCTAGGCAGCGGCACACTTTCACCCCAGATAACGCCCGGCGCATGCGCCCTGTGGTCGCCGCGTGCGCCGCCTGCCGGTGACCTTGACCACTGGACCGTGACGAGTTTTGATTGGGCGCGTGTGTGGCTCGTGCTCAGCTACCTGAGGCTCCTCCGCCATAGGGAGTCTGGCAAATGGAGTTGGAGATGGTAGCGCATGACGCTTTCTAAGCGTGTCAGTTTTACGAGAAACGAAATCCCTAAATGGCGTAGAATCGGTAGAATACCTGTCGAGACCCGATGCGGTGATTTATAAGCGTTTGCGCATATCTGATCAATCTTATAAAAAAAAATCACGCAGCAGCTTTTCGCAACAGTCTGCAAACTTTACCACGGCTCGAAAGATCCGAGTCGTGAGGTCGTGACGCCTGACTCGGTTCGTGACTTTTGACTCCGGTTGCGGCCGTCTGACCCATATATGGCGGTGGCTCCGGTCGGGTCTGGGCGGGGCGGGCGCCGATGTGAGGTGAGTTGAGCGCCAACAGCTGAGCCGTGCCGGGCGCGGCCAGATATGATCACCGCATAAAAACTGACAGCCCATAATGAAGCCTAGTTAGGACGCCCGGTTCGATCACAGAGCTATTGAGACCAAACCGGCCCACTTTTGCTTTCGTCAGGCGTTTTGAGACTGGCTGCCGTATGTAATGTTATACGTTTTTGAAGATAACTTTTACCGTTCATTTGCTAAAATTTAGTTTGTGGGATAATTTACCTCTAACGGGGTTCAGCAGCATGCATGGCAGTATGGACGCCAATAACCACTGCTGGCGGCACGTCCTTGAAGCCCAAACATCATCAAAAGTTATCAGTACAACAATCGGCAGTTTCGGAAAAGGGTAATGATTGAGTGTAGATCGCTCTGATACTTACGTGAGATGTGGAAGGTTTGCCGACAACTTCGTCCACTTCGACAGGGTAGAAGTTTTCCTGAGCGTTGTCCGACGTTTCCTGGGCCATCATTGCCTTCAGACGCTGAATGTGGAGAAAAAGCATGTCATGTTCAAAACGAACGGTATTTATCTCGTCAGGCATTGGAGAGTTTTCCTAGATCGTTTCATACGCATACGCAGGTTAGACATTTTGGCTTGAAAGGTGATATCGCGGATCTACGTATTTCATATTAGACGTATGGACCAGAAGAAAAAGACGAAGAATCGGGAGAAGACGCGAATAATGAATCGATATTAAAAGAACACAAATTACCAAAGATATCAGACTCCACACGGATGAATGAAAGCATGTTACGTTTGTCATAAACAACTCGAGTTTGGTTAGCCAGATAAACATGCTGGTCAGAAGGCTTCAAATCATCATACCGTCAGTGCCCTGAACCAGCGTTGCACGTGTTTTCTCACCTCCGGCAGCAGGTTTTGCACGTCGGGATGGTTCTTCTTCAGATACCACACCAGCACGGCAACCACGGGGACGACAAAGAGCAGCGAGACCAGATAGATGGGTCCTCCAGGCTCTTCAACGTCCTCAGACCCTGGAGAAACCACTTGGGGTTTTCTATCAATCTCCAAAACACGGGCCTGACGCGGCGTGGTTGAGGAAGATCGTGTAGGAGATGATGTCGAAGGAGATGTTGAGTACTCTACTGAAGGTGGTGAAGCAGGTGTTGCAGAGGCTTCGGACGAGGGAGACTGCCCGACTGGTTGATGGTGGTCCGCGTAATGTACGACAGGACCTGACGGAGGTGTCGGAGGCAGGTCAGAATTTTCATCTGCTAGGATACGCTCCATCTCAGTCTCTGAAGGGCGGAGAAAAGTTGCCATGGTTGTGGAGGCAGAAGCTGCCAGGTCATCAGGCTCATAGTAGGGGAAGCCCGTATCCAGTTCCAAATCATCATCGCTAATGTAGCCGTAACCCTCATTAGATGACTTTGGGATGAATGACTCTCTGTCTTCGGAGTTTTGCGAATCACGTTTGTGCTCTTTGAGTTCAGAGTTGGGAGAGAATCCCTGCACGTACGAATGGTCTTTATGGCTGTGGTAGCTGTGACCGTGTGAGTCAGAGAACTTGTTTGTGCTCGGGTTGGCAATGGTTGAAGATGGTGAATCCGGTCTCCTTCCCGGCTTCAAGCCAAAGCGCACGCTTAATGCATCGCTCTCTGTTTTTGCACTGTTGTCCGCCTTTGGTACTTGTTGTTTCACGATGACACTCTCATCCACATTTGGTACCTCGTCTTTGTTGTCAACGTTGGCTGATGATGGCAGATCTTGAATACTGGCCTGTTCATCACCTCTAGTTTGTGACGATTCGGTTTCTTCATGTGCCAGAATCGGGGCTTCGGTTGTTCTTATTACACTGCTCTCTAGAACTGGTGGTCTCTGACTACTCACTGGCACTGAACCGGTCGAACTACTTCTGTTGTCAATCAATATAGAGTATGTGCCACGCTGGTCCTCTTTTTGCTTCGCTTCGTCTACCTCTAGTGGAGCTTGGCTGGAAATGACTGCATTCAACGGTCTCCTTGTTCGTTGGCTAGTGTCAGGTGGACTATATTCCGTCACTGTCGCTTCTTCCTCAGCCTCTGTCGGCAACTTCACGCGTTTCCTCAATTTGAACTCCAACGGAGAGACGGCAATGGACACTGAAGTCTCCAGTGATGTTCCTAGCACAGTCCGCTGAATATCGGTGGCATTTCCTGTCTGACTGCTGGTCTCGTCCGGGTGGCTATCATTGCTCTGCTCGTCCAGTTTGGAGACTTGATGTTCATCTTCCTTTGGCTCTTGATTTTCTGACTCGATCTTCGAGACTGGAATTTGGGCTGGAGTGACAGTTGGCAATTCTTTAGAGCTTGCCTCTGATGCAGCCAGGCTTGGTGGAGCTGAACTTGTTCTTGGTCCGGGAAGCACTGGTCTGCCTCTCGGAAGTCCCAGCGTACCTCTAGGAAAGGTTACCGAAATGGTGACGTTCCTACCCAGAAGACCTCGCTGCTGTGCAGATTTGATAGTCGACAGCAACAGCGGGAATGGGGGAATGGTTGGAGGAAGAACGTGTCTCTGACCGGCCTTTGGGCCGCTCCTCAAAGAGAACGTGTGGCGGCGTTCCTCCAGCCGACGTGCTAGGAGATTTGACTGATCGGTGTTTGGAGTTGACGGCGTGTGGCGAAGGGTGTCGGGTCGTTGGCGACGCTTCGTGGAAAGAGGGTTCGCCGGTACCGCAGGAGAAGAATAGTCAGTTTCTTCCTGTACAGGTAATGTGGAAGGAGTTGTAATCTGAGACGCGCTACTGATATTTGAGGAAGGCAAGGTTGTGCGTTCGGAAGATGACTTGGAGTTAGTTTCTGTAGTTGCCGAAGAGGAAGGCGAGGACGTAGTGGTTGTTGTTGATTGAGTGGTCTGTTCCGTCGTGGTAGGCCTCGTTGTTGTTCTCAGTGTCGTCGTCGTTGGTGTTGTTGATGTTGATGTTGATGTTGCTTCTGAGGTCGTTGTTGTTGTTTCGGTGGTCGTGGTCGTTTTTGCTGTTGTTGTCGTTGAAGGTGTCGTAGTGGTTGTTGCTGAAGTGGGCGTAGTAGTAGTTGCCGCTTCTGTGGTTGTTGTAGATGTAGTGCTTGTTGATCTCGGCTCTGAGGTAGGAGCACTGCTTGGAGTAGCGGCTGTCGATGTCACCGTCGGTTCTTTATCCTTTTCACCTCTTCGCTTTGGTAGGAAGGAGAGCCGAGCGCGGGACCTGTTTCTGATCCTCGCCAGAAGGCCCAACACCTTCTCCACCTCCTTTTTCTCTTTGTTTACCGGCGTGGCTTCAGTGGTGGACACAGCTGTGGTTGTGCCGTTCGGTCTGAGGCGTGACGCTCGGTTACGGAACCTCTCACGACGACGTAGGGCAGCTTCAGACAGTCTGCGTCGGGCGGGAGACTTTGTGATGGACGGGGTAGTGGAAGACGTGGTTGAAGGAGATGTAGTTGTGGACGTACGAGGTGTAGTTGTGCTGCGAGTAATACCCGGGGGCCTTCGACGAACGTTGGGTGAAGGGACTTCGTTATCAGGTGCACTAGTTGTTCTCTCAGTAGTGCTACTGGAGTCTTTCCTAGTGCTGGTTACCGCTGGTTCAGGCTTCTCTTTGCGGCCAGCTGTTGGCTCATCTGGAGTTGGTGGGTTTGTTGTCTTTGAAAGAGGTACCAGCAGCCGTCCCGGCCTTCGCTTAGATGCTATTCTTCGAGGAACGATGCCGATGTCGTCTGACTTTTCGTCAGATACCGGAGGAGCACCGGCAGTAGATTTTTCTGTAGTTGTTTCTGGTTTGATCGATTTCGCTGCGGAATTTTGTAAGCCTTTCTCATCACTTTGGGACACATTTGAAGTCGAAGCTTCCTCTGGTGTCTTCTTTTCACCCGATTTATCTCCCGTTTGCACTTCCTCATCATTTTCATCAGCACTGTCTTTCGCGTTAACCACTCGCACCTTTTTCCGCCTCACTATCACTTTCCCATGCCTCTCGCTGGGCTCACTCACTAGCCCCTCCTCTGCGGTGGAGTTCGCTCTCTGGGCACCACTGCCGTCCGACCGCGGCACTGCACGAAAGTCTCTCGGACGGCCCGCAACACCGGGCGTATCGAGCTTTTCACCAAACCCGCGGAACGGTTCCACTTTGTGCTCGGACGCGTGTGCAAGCACAAACTCCGGCTGTAGGCTGAAGTGAGTCTCGTTCAGCAGTGCCAGAAACGGGGGCCGCAGAGACTCACGAAATGTCCGCTCTGTGACGTCATCACTACTCGTGACGTCATCACGACGTTGCGCGCGCGGTGCCAACACCTTGCGGCGTCGGATGACCTTGAGCGCGGCTGCTGGGTCACCGCCAGGTGGCAGCTGTGGTGGTGGTGGCCGAACCTGAGGCCGAGTCACGTGACGCTTGTGACCGCCGCCAGCTGTTTGTAGCAGCCGCGCCGACAGTGCCGCATTTGCTGCTGCCAGATCTGGAAGCAAAAAGAATAGGAATTAGAAAATACAGTGCTGCTTTGACAGATGACGTCCAATTTCGAACTGTTTATCTGAATTTACAGTTCCCAACAACACACTTTACACAATTCCTAATGCTCTAATACTTATATGGGATGAGTTCTTACTGTACAAATCTAATAAAAAGTGTCCTTAGGTTCCTCTGGTAATGCGACTCTGGTTCACGCAGACAAACGCACGACAAGTCCGGTGTCAATAAGGAATACTGACAAGCGTGCGTAGAAACTGTATAATATGTGTGTTTCATTGAAGTGAATTCTTGGCGACTATCCATTCAGTTGAATAATTTCTGTATGTTAATATGCGGCCTTTCAAGGGCATTCGCCGGCATGACGAAGCCAATTGAAGCTTGCGTGCTCATGCTGCTTTTAGATCTCGAATGTATCATTACAACTGGAAAGAATGAATCGGGTCACCATGCGGCAAATTATTCTGCCTCTCATGCCCAGAATTTCATAACCTGTCATTATGTACAAAGGCAGTCAGTCACATTTCTCACTGCCCCGAATGAATTAGTGGGAAACCCAGCCTGCACTTCAAATGTACTATTGAAATATAGCCATATTAATGTAGCATAATTGCGTATAGACGCTTTAATTGCATCCGCAATTGACGGAGAGCCGCTTGAATGCGTGAGCTCAGGCCGTCAGCAACCATTGAACCCGTTACAAGCAGCTACTGTGCAATGTGCTTTGTCAAGCTACTCCGGTTGATGTTCCCAATTAGACGCGAGCTGAATAAGAATAGAAACAGTAACCAACTAAGTGTAGTTCTTCAAGGCTGCTGGAATTTGTGTGTGACCTCTGGTCTCAACCCTTGTTTTGAGTGACCACTTCCTGTTTAGGGGACCTTCTCCAAAGAAGACCAAAAAAGTCTTAACGCGCATGTAGAAACATGGCATGCTGGAATACTGAATTGGCGTATAATGAAAAATGGGAAGAGAGAGCGGTGGATATCATTTTTGTCTGGCTTCGGTCGCGCCTCATAGCTCAAGCTCACATCTAATTACTCTAATTGACGGGGTGCTAATTACACTAACGCAACACCGCGTTTGTCTGTCCATAGGACGGCCGGCGGCTGTGAACTTCCCAACACTCCGCACTCAAAGTGGCCCGCGGCTTACACCACGTGGGAAACATTGCCACATAGGGGCCTCTTTGGGGCGAATCAGACCCGTGGCCCTGATGTTTGGAGTTCAGCTTCATGCTTGGGTAATGATTTTCCCGAAATAAGTGGCTGATTTTTATATGAAGCTTGTCTGGTACGCTTTCCATGGAATTTTTTATTTGTATTGGTATTCGTTGGTTGATTTCGAGCAACTGAGTGACTAAGCTATTGAGTTTATTCTCATTCATTGTAGTTTCAACACTTTTCTTAGGCTAAATCATAAAAGTTAAGAATAACTTAATTTTCTGAACATCTGTTTATGTTTGTTTGGCCGGATATGCGTTTGAAAAGTCACCATCTCTTACTACCTCTTTTCCAGGCCAAAGTCCAAAACAAAGATAGTTAATGGAAAACCTTTAACAATAAAAAGACCACACCCGACAAACTAACTCATGAATAGGACAGCGAAAGCTCAAAGTGTCCAGTCACCCTTTTGCTGTCAGCCATGGGAACTAATGCCACAATCACTGGGTCCTCAACTGTGGGCTTCCCGCTATTAAACAACAAACCACCGGCTAACAAATAGCCCTGACATCCGGGTACCATATTGTTAGTAGCCGTGACTTCCTCTGGCTGTCTTCGACCTTGCGAGACGAATTATGGACGCGGATCTGAGCAAATTACGCAGAAGCAAACAAGACCCTGCCATAGTTTTAATGCTGCATGGGTTTGATCAGTCTTTGGAATGAAAGAGTCGAAAAGCAGCGCTGTCAAACCTACCCTACCACCAGAAACATTGCCCTCACTGTTTCTCTCTCTCTCTCTCTCTCTCTCTCTCTCTCTCTCTCTCTCTCTCTCTCTCTCTCTCTCTCTCTCTCTCTCTCTCTCTCTCTCTCTCTCTCTCTCTCTCTCTCTCTCTCTCTCTCTCTCTCTCTCTCTCTCTCTCTCTCCTCTGTCTCTGTCTCTGTCTCTGTTTCTCTCTCTGTTTCTCTCTCTCTCTCTCTCTCTCTCTCTCTCTCTCTCTCTCTCTCTCTCTCTCTCTCTCTCTCTCTCTCTCTCTCTTTCCCTCCCGCCGTCAGTCCGTCCATGTATTTCTCTGAAGACCGCTCGTCTCGCCACCGTAAAGCCCATTGTCATCGTCAGGCTCCATGCATGAGCCACAGTGGATGTTATGTCACCGTCCCCGACCAAGTAGGGCCACCCTGTGCGCTGCTGGTGGTGACTGTTGAAGGAGTGCGTAATGCATAAAATGACCTCATTTTAGAACATTGTTTTTTCCTTTTTCTTTTTTTTTCCTTTCTTTTTCTTTTTTTTTCTTTTTTCTCTTTTTTCTCTTTTTTCTTTTTTCTTTTTTCTTTTTTCTTTTTTCCTCTCTTTTTTATCTTTTTCTTTTTCATTTTTTCATTTGTTTCTTTTTTCTGTTGCTGAATAGTGTGTTGCCAAAAAATCAATAGAATTAGACCGTAAGTATAAGGCTGCCATTGAACTCTGCATTTATAGTTATAAGCACGTAGAACTTAAAACCCGTCAGCTTTTTTTGTGAGTAGCATAAATCATTCTTTCATCTAGATCAATGCTGAATGTAACTTGCACAAGCCATCGCTGGTTCATCTTCTATTTCGGATGGGATATTATGTGCCGGTTTCGGGTAGAATGGCACAATGCTGATAGCACACGCAAAATAAGCTGTTGAGGGTAAGTGGCATTATGTTTTGTCTTACAGTGACGTATTATTTCGACCATAAATGTCATTTTGCATCTGCAATTCAGCTCAAAGGCACCAATCCAAACACAGCTATTTCCAACCCAGCATTGACCAGTGTTTGACGACCCGTTACGGTAGATTTCCATTTCACCTCGACTTCCATGTAGAACGGATGGACACACACGGTGGTGAAATGCTGGAAAACACCAGGCAGACTATGCGCTGGGAGCTTTTTGTGATATCCACGACGAAAATGCACCCCGCAACATCCGTCATGGGTGCATTCGGATGGAACAGCACGCTTGTTCGTGCGTGCTTCGGGTAACTGGGAGGAGGGAAGAGAGAGGAGAGGAGAAAGGGAGGGAGAGAGAGAAAGAGAGAGAGAAAGAGAGAAAGAGAGAGCGAGAGAGAGAGAGAGAGAGAGAGAGAGAGAGAGAGAGAGAGAGAGAGAGAGAGAGAGAGAGAGAGAGAGGCAGAGTGGAAGGAGACTCTTGAAAAGGAATGTCTGTTGTTTTTGAATTGACAGATCACCATCTGCTTTGGTCGATCAAGAGAGAAAGAGGTATGACAGGGCGAATGTCGCTGACAGCCTCAGGCAGCGAGAATATGGGAGTCTAAGCTGTGCGCAGCGCTCTTCGCAGACAATTTTCAGAAATTGATCTTTGTATTGCTTTATATAGCCGGGAAGTACCATTGTTGTTTTTTATTTTGTTATTGTTAGGATAGTCTGTCAAATCTACCATAGAAGATTCTACAGGCTACAGCAGTACCAATGCAAAGACTGCAACGCGGCATCGCACTGTATCTCAGAGACTGTAGCGTGACACATAGGAGTATCTCAATAGTCTGAGATTGAGTTAGGAACTTTTTTCTCTCACGTCTGGTATGGTTTTCGTGAGATGTCTGCGTGATTGTATCTCTATCGCGGAACATCAGCAGGATATTTGATGTAAATGGTGTAACGGTTTGAATGACGTCATATGTCACTTTCCTGAATTATTTTAAACATAATTGTGTACCCGTAGAAGCTATGGAATCAAAGACAGTCGGGACTCGGGAAAATTATTCCATGGTCAACACTAAAATTTTCCCTTTATTATCCCGCTTGATGACATTGTGCTTAAAGAAGCTTTTTTTCTCGAACCAGTATTTTTTCATTGATCTTTCCAATCTTCATCGTATTCTGTTTGTGTGTGTGTGTGTGTGTTTTTTTTTAGGCCGCCCGGTCTTCAAAAGTCATCGGCTCCATCTCATTTTAGTCTAGACAGCAATCAGTAAGCTCACGAATATCGCCAGCACTGCCCCCCCAGTTCCTCTAGCCCGCTCGTTCGTCGCCTGTCTGTGAAAGCGGGCTCCGCCGGTCTGGCTCCGCGGTCTGGCCCCGGGTCCCCATCACAAGGGTCATGGGAGAACCCACCGTGCGGGCCCCGACGAGCGCTGATTGTGGGAAGACAGGCCGCCACTCCGGCCTCAAACGCGACTGCGTGGGAGGCTAGACGAGCGATGTCGTCTGCGGCGGGTTTCTAGATGGGACGGCCCATTTGGTTTATTTGTTATGGAAAATTTCATGTGACATAGGTCGGTGATTTAGGTTTACTGTTAAAACAGCCTGGTAAAAGGGCTGACATCAGAAGATTGGAACAGGATAAGCGGTGTTTTCTCGTTAAACGACAAACGGAAGCGACCTTGGTGGCTTTACGCGAACGTGCTGTTTTTCGTCGCGGTTCGTGGTGTCCGTGTAAGCAATGCGATACGTCAGAATGTGGTTAACCTTGGGGGCCTCGTCAGGGCACGTGACGTGATTCTCGCCGGGCCTCAGAGGAGCGTGTCAACGGTAATGGGGGATGGAAGTAGGCGAGGGAATGATGGGAGAGTGAACAGTGAAATTCTAGTCTGATAACGATGCTTTTCGTGTGAGGGAAAGAACCGCATTTTAGAGCCAAAATTTTACGACCTTTGTGAAAAAGATGTTCATTATGCATGAACTAAATTTGGTGAAATATATTTGATCGATTCATAAACCTTTGCGTCTTTCTTTGAGGGACATCTCCTTTTACGTTCATTATACGTTACAGCATGCATCAAACACATTGCCACACTTTTGGTTGATAGATAACATATCTTATCTTCGTGGAGGTTGGAAAAGACATCCTGGTTCAGATGCATTAGCCCGTCCAACTCCAACCTATTAGGCCTACTCCTCACGATTTTTTGGGGCGATTATGGTCATTTTAGCCGAAGTGATTGATGACTTCACACCGACCAGACCTTGGCTATGGTGTATGTAGCTATTTACTCCCTCAACCATGAGAATGCGTTGCCTGGTAAGTAGTAGCCGGACCGCCCGCGGGATCCTATCCATTGTGGTCTGAATTAACCTTGGACAGGCATAGTTTTATGCCACCCAACGAAATAATTTGAATTAATTTCTGCCGTTTCCGCCTATTTTTATTACATTGAATCGCTTGCTATATAAAATGGTAGTGAAAAGTAAAAACTATATGTTTTGATATGATTTTTAAGCTCCCGGCTCATATATTTGTAAAAACGCATTCATTTACTAATCATGAGTCACTGGTGGTTGTTTGCTCGAAACTATCATCATTTCGTGAGAAAACAACATTGTTTACATAAAACCCACCCCATTTGTTTGGGTGAAACGCACACGGCTGGCCGGCACAGGAAATTGCCCGCCGTTCCTTTGATATCATGTATCATGCAATGCGGGCATTAGTGTTGTAACCGCCTTGGACTGAATGGTCCCCTGCGGGCTAGACTCAATGACGAAACGGCGCGGTACTCTGGTGACGTAGCCCGGGCTGGTGTCGGGTCTGGGACTGGGTCGCTGGGTCGGTACTGCGGTGGTTATCGCACCACCAAGAGTAACGTTTTCTGTGGAGCAATAGTTGGGATGTAAAGACCAAAATAGTCTTGAGACTATGGCGATTTTGTGTAGCAGGAAATAAGCAGCAATATGCAATATTACGTTGAGTTCATATTTAATGGTCAAGTTCATGCAAGTTTTCCTTCTGCGGTTAACCATGGCTATTTATGGCAACGTTTATACTCGAGCAGCATTGTCGATCAAATGATATAATAAGCCGTTGTTAGTACCGTGTATAAGGCCGTCCGAAATTCCCCTGTAATCTGTCTGGTCATGACAATGGGCTGCAATATGTATTATGTATGCTCGTAGATGATAGTGTGATAACCTACATCATGCATACATGATACTTATGCTATGGAACTTAAAACCGGTTCTCTCTTCTTCGAATGTGATGCAAATTGCCGCCTTTCTGATAAATTACTGTCTTTAGGTAATGCAACAAAATCACCTTTAAATTGTTGCAGCTTGTGCGTGCTGCCCACTGGGCAGAGAGCGAAAAAGGTAATGTGATGTGTTGGCCAATAGGTTGAGAACGAAGCCCATTGCTTCGCCTTTGTGACACGATTCACTTGCATATCACCGCATTCTTGCATCATCTTAGCATGACTAGAATAATGTGCGTGCCGCACCATCTATATCGTGATCGAATGGAGCGATTTGAGCCCAATTATGTCACTAGGAATTCCACAAATGTCGTAATATACCGATGAGTGATGTCCTTCGAGTTTCACGCACGGCCGTCCTGCGGAATTCATCACGGAATATGATTGGAGCCAATATGTCTCTCTGGCAATCTGCTAGATGTCGACAGAAGATTAATGAGATCTAATGATCAGAAATGCACCACTCATTTGACGAAATTCTCACATTACCGTGTGAGTTGGTGCAGAAATCGCACTGCGATCAGATATTAATGTAGCTGTCATTCTACGGCGAACTTCGGACCAGCTTTCACACACGAAAACTCATACGTACTCGCGATATCTTACTACAGTCATTGCCGTTAATAACACGAAACATAATTAATCTCCTAAAATTATTAGGTCTTAGCCGTTCAGTACTCTGTAATTTCCTCGAATAGAGTCGGGAACACGCAGAGGTGACCTTTTCAGGTAACCAGGGTAGAATAGACGCAGCTAAGCGGATTGAAACGATGTAAAGCGCAGCTTTCTTAGTTTCCTGGCTGCCACGCGACACATCGCGACCGCCCAGGCGCGACAGATCACGTGATCGCGCTCCAGGGCCCAATCTTACCAATGCCGTGAATAGGATTTGGCAGCAACGGCCGGAGTTTACGGCACTGATATCAAAGATGTCCTTTTTATTTACCTCCAGGTAATTTTGTCCAATGATTTTGATAGCGTGAATGATTATGAATGTCGCCAGAACGAATGAATAAGTGAAGGTGGAATAGTTCTGAATGTTACCAAATGCCGTGAATGCGCATTCACGGCATTTGGTAAGATTGGGCCCAAGAGGAGACCACCCTTTGGCTGACGGGGTGCCCCCACAGACTGTCTCTCGCTCATTGACGCCGCACTACATGACCGCTCGCTCCTTCAATATACGATATTTTGATAAACCAGTATAAACTCCCCGCTGCCTTCCACGCTCAGTAGCCTCTGATGACGTCATCTGACCACCTCTGATGACGTCACGGACCACTGTGGGTACCGTGGCATATTACCGCGCCCACGGCCACCTTTCACTCTCGACTCGGAGTGGGGACACGGGCTCACTGGACGGGACAGGGCTGCCTCAGGCGACCGAGAACGTCCATCAGTCAGTGGGATGGAACGGACCCACAGCCTGTCCACAGTGGGGATATTAGCTGACCACTACCCGCTCCAAATTACCCCTCCCCTCCCTCCCTGCCCCTTCCCCTACCTAACGCGCTACTGTGTTGTGTGTGTGTGCTACTGTAAAGGGCAGCTGTGCTGTGTGCTGCTGTAGGTATGCTACTGTGCGAGTCCTACCATACCGCACCCACAGAAGACCAGAGTCAAAGAATGTGACCAATGGGGTGTGACCAAACCCTCCCCACCCTCCCCTCCCCCTCCCTCTAACCCCCAAGCCTGTGGTGTCTGCTGTCACATGAAATTCTCGTCTTCACGGTGAAGAGGCCCGACCTTGCGGGGAGGGATTACGTCACTCGCTGGGTCGTCTGCCAGCTGATTAAATGGGGGCGGGCCCATGGGGAGGGTGTCGCGAGGAGGGATGGGTTACGAGGAGGGGAGGGGCGCGTGCCGTGAAGGTTAGGAGCGACAGGGACGGTGGAGCGTTGATTGGATGCGCTGAAGGGGATGGTGGAATGGAGCAGGCAGCCTGCGGATAACGTTGCTGGAAGTATCATGTTTTTTTTGTGGATCGAGACATCAATGCAGGAATAAAGCTGAGTTTTAAACATTATCGGAACTATTCATTGATGTTTTCCCGGTTTTGATAGATGAACTTTACCTTTTTTCGGCATGACAGTATGCTTAAAAGAGGCAGACAACACATAACTAGAGATAATAAAAGTGGTAGTGATTATGGTTTTGACGTTGACAGATCAAAATGGAATAATAAATTGATAATGTACAATTCCTTTCTATGAAGCTATTCCACATCGCACATGGTTATTATTCGTCTAATAAAAGCATAGCTTTATATCGTCCGAAAGCATGGAAAATAACTCAAATGTAAATTGAGGTCACGCCTCACTAAACAAAAACAAGCCCATGCTGACGAAAATACCATCACAGGGGCTCGATTCGATCAAGCCGGCAACTAAGCCACCGAAATCTGGCCGCTTTAATACCGCAAGAGACATTGGAACTGTAAATCAAACTGATTACCAAATCTCACTCACCGGGATTGGGGCTGATTACTCATTGGTGTTTTGGTTTGAAGCGGATGAAATGATTTGGGTGGTTGTTATCGGTCTTATTGCTTCGTGGGGCCACAAACAACGTCTGATATACTTCTGTTGATAACAGTTCTCTATGAAACGAGTGTTTATTCAGAAAGTGATGACAAATATCAGGTTTGTTTGTGATGTAATTAGTGGGGGACTTCTTCTATGTGAGCTTCCAAGGGCATCAAATGGTGGCGCAAATTTATATCTTTCGTTGCTTGAGCAGGGGCGGAGATTCCTGTACAGTTGGCTCCACCAACTTGGTATTTTGCTCCACCAACTTTAGCGATTTCTAAGACTTTGTTGCTTTGCAAATTAATCTTTTTCGCTTTGAAGAGCTTTGGAATGTCTGTTTAATGCAAAATATTTATATATGTAATGATAGGAATTGATTCAGTGTGACATTTTATTTAGCCTCATAATCGGACATTGTTGGTTTGACGACTTTTTACCCCACCAACTTCCCTGGAAAAGCTCCACCCATGTGCTTGGGATCGAGTGATATTTAGGCCGGCATGGTGTTTCAGATGGTCTCCCCTACTGTTCCTTCCGACCCAGTTACGGTATATCAACCCCAGTTGGTATCTCATACAATCTGATGCAGCTACATTCTTCACAGGATCCTTCGTCACGAACCAATCTCCGTAAAATCTTAGCATGCATGTTAAAGTTAAATAGGAAATAATGCTCAGTTGCAATACCACGGTTTTCATTTGACATTGAGTTGTTCATTGTATTGTTATCTAATGGATGGCAGTGTTGCACTGCACCATGCATATCCTCTCCTGTTTTATCCTCACCTCCATTCCTGTCGATCTGCTGCGGGAGTCCGGCACAGCCAGTGACTAGCAGTAACGACAGCAGTAACGACAGCAGCGGCGACAGCAGCGGCGACAGCAGGGTGGTCCGCTGCCGCCGCAGTCTCCTCCAGGGCCTCATCTCATGGCGACCGTGATGCACGGACGGTGGAGAGGTAAAAATGCCGGCCGGCCGCGCCGCCAGCGGTGTGTTGTCATGGCAACCGGGCGTCACCAGGTCTGCGGAGGGAGGGAATAGGTGTGAGGCGAGAACAATGTTGTCATGACAACTGGACGTCAATGCTGGGCAGAGAACAAGTGTGAGGCTCGTCAATGCTGTCGTAACATACGACAACCAGTCGTCAACAAATGCAAGTTGAGAAATTTGACCTCACTCAATCCAGAATCACATCAATGAAGCCTTTTGCGCCTTCTAACGGAATACAACAAATGCATTGTTCGTTGCGCTAACTCAATATCTTATGAGCTTATCCGACGAAGGCCGCAGTTAGATTCACAAATGCAGTGACATTCAAAATTGTGGTTAAAGCGCTACCACAAATATGCAAAACCCCTTCAGGACGAATTCTTAGGAACCTTGAAGTGAATGACAGGCCCGACGCATGATTCGGTCATTACTTTAGCCGCGAATCTCCAATCAGTTTTGGATGTCAAATGAACTAGGAAGCTCCACACAAAAGAATAGCACAGGAAGAACAATGGAATAATACGCAATGTAATCCCATTGTGGCTGCAGGAAGGCACGCTGCCCGTTAGGTCAAGGTTGTCGATGTTTTTAATTTAATATTTTGAGCTTAAGCTATTTTAGTCACGTTGCTGTCTATCAACGACGCACCAGTTCAAGTAGCTTGTTCTTTAGATGAGTAGACATTGTTAGAAGGTTTCCGCAAATATATGAAAATAGATACATCATGATTTACTAGGATTCAGCAATATTTCCGTCGTGTGCTCCGTTTACTATTTTCACCTTCTGTTACTCATACAATCAGATAAAAGCACCAGAGATCAGATTGTGCGGAACAACACACCACCGGCCATCGTCCTTCAATATAGGAGCGTGACCTTAGTGCGACCCTGTATGCCTGGCACAGCCAGGTCTCTCATCCAGCCGGCGGAGCAGACAAAGACAAAGCGCTATTGTTTTGGACAGAATAATTGGTGTTTGCGATCCGGCGTCAGAGGGACGTTTGTTTTGCCAAGGTAGCTCGAGGTCTAAGGGAGATGGAATATGCTTCTTCGAGATGAGCTTGCTTGCTCTGATTTTTATAAACAGATTCATCTTCCTCTCGATTGCTAAAAATTCCAGTCTCATTGGCTGCCTATGTGTTTATTGGCCCCAATTTTGGTTCGATTGGCAAACAATTTGTTTAACCCGCGCCCTGCTGGGGGTCCTGGATTTCCACGCCCTGCTGGGGGGGGGGGGTGTTTGAACACCCCCCCCCTTCTAACTCGGCTCCTGGGCCACGTAGCGATACGCGGAAGGCGGCGTTCGAAAGAGCGTCAAAAATAATGACGAAATCACTTCGGTCAATTTTTTGGTCAGGGCAAAGGTCAGGTAACCAGAGGTCATTGAAGGCAAAATTTCGCCGATTTCCAGGTCGAATGTCGAAAATTTCCAAGAAGCCAACGCATAACTCGGGAACCAATAGAGCTACAGCGCCGCGGAAAAGCGCATTCGATAGCCCTATTAAAGGGACCCTCCCACCTTCAAAAAAGTTAATGAATTGGCACGAAAATGATGTCGCTCGGTTCAGAAAGAGCGAAAACGAATATCTACCAAATTTCATCGAAAAATATTCACCGGTTTTCAAGATATTAGACTTTTACTTTTGTTTACTTTTTGGGATCTCCGCTGTTCCTAGCGACTTTATTTGAAAGTGCGGCATTTGTTGCGCGCAAAGCAGCATATACCACCGCGTGCTACCAAACGTTTTAGTAAAAGATTTAAAAATCGTTAGATCTCCGCTGACGTCACAAATTCTAAGGGGGCATACCAATGCACTAGCCCCTTAGAATCCGAAAACTGCAAGTTTGAAATTCCATATCTCCGAATTAAAGCATTTGTCAATGTTGTGAGTGCCCAAACCGGTATTTGCAGGCCATGGCCACCAATTTGGCTATCTCAACTCAAAACTAATGTTAAGGTGGGAGTGTCCCTTTAACGCCCTTTCTGAGTAATTCTCTCAGATTTGACCTAACGTCAACGGTTTTGCCTGCAGGGGGCAAAAACTGCAAAAGAAGCCGATTTTTTCGAAAACAGTTTTTCTGCAATAACTTTTGACCCAAGCCTTGTACGAGCTTACTTTTACCGCCATCGTGTTCCTCTCGTCAAGACGCATCGAATGAACTATAACTTGACCTTGAAGGGTCAACTTGAAAATTTGACCTCAGGTCAAGGTCATGACCTGACCGGAAAGGGTCATGTTGCATATCAGTCGATCCGTATCGTCGAGCTGAACACATATAAGGCGTTTTCATCGCTCTAGAATGCCTCTATCAAAAGTTATTTGCGAAAAACTGTTAGATACCATTCGTGACCTGAGATGACCTCAGGGCATAAACAAGGGTCACGGACACCATTTTCAAGTTCAGTGTGTCTAAAACACTTGTAATTCGGTGTTTGGGAGTGCTTATAATGTCTTTCATCCAAAAGAGGCTCATTTCAATTTTCTCCCATTGACTTATAATGGGGAGGTCGCAAAATTGACCTGACCTTAGGTCATCGATATCAAAATTCTGAGATATACATTTTGTACATGCTATTGCCCTTAGCAATCGCTGAAAGTTTCAAAGCGATCGGTCACTCGGTGTAGCTATGACAGACATTGAAAGTTTTTATGAGGTGAGGTCACTTCAAGTGACCTGGTGACCTGACCTTGAATGACCTTGGTCTGAAATTTTTACAACATGTGTAGAATTGATGCATGATAAGGTGTACCAAAAACGGCGGCGCTCCGCGCCGCCGTTTTTGAGATATTCGCGAAAAACCACAAGGGGGGGGTGTTCAAACACCCCCCCCCCCCAGCAGGGCGCGGGTTAAAATCACACGATGGTTCAGACGCATCGTAAAAAATGTACGATAGAAAAGTATCAGCCGACCTCACATCCATTCACAGAGCAACAACCCATAAATGTCTCCCTAATCAAACTCTCACAAGACTGGTCGTTTCTTCCACAGCTTGACGTTTTAGCGCACACTTCTCATTAAACATCGGTCACACTAAATCACCTCATACCCTTCACGCCACCACTACAAACTCCCATCACCATATGGCCTGTCCGTCGACAAAGGTCCCCCTCTCGGTCAAGGCCGTCAGCATACGCAATCGACCTCCGGAACCCTCACACGTCACTAGACAAACACGGGCATTTCTATTGTCCACTTCGTCTCCAACTTCGAGTCGGAGCGACTCGAGCCGTCAGCTGACCGCGTGGTGACCCCGTGACCTGTGCTCGTGACGTCACAAGTGGCTGACCTTGACGTGGGGGCTGGGCGAGAACGCGAGGGAGGAGAGGGGAGGGTGGCCTTGGGGGTTTGTCAGCGCCCGTATCACTGGAAGCTGTAAAGTTGAGTCAGAGAGTCATGGGACATTGACGGACTTCGACAGAAGGTGATGTCAGAAGATGTGTGTGGAGAAAATGATGAGGTAAAGGCGTTGAAGTCGAATAGTTATGACGAATTTTAGATGATGATTTAGATGACTCTTCGCTCCTAAAGCCACGCAATATGAAAAGGACTGATGAAAAATTAGGATATATAGGAGTCTGATAAATGAACTTACTCATTTTTTGGCATGATGCCGTCAATGCATTCTCTGCTTTCGCATTGATAAAGGACAGTGTATGCGCACAACGCGCTCTAGGTACTAATGGAATCATTCCTCGTGCGCCGTTTTGGAATCAATGAGACGTACGCGTGGTCTAGTTTTAACCCGCGCCCCGTTGGGCTCTGCCGAGCAACGCGCCCGGTTGGGGGGGGCCCATTTTGGCCCCCCCCCCCCTAAGATCTTGAGAACCACGCAACATAGCGACAAGCGGTAAACGGCGTTGGATAGCCCCAACGGGGAACTACCTTGTGACCCAGTTTTATTGACCTAGGTCAAACCGATGACGTCACAGGTCAGGTCAAAGGTCCAATTTTCACCGTTTACAGGCACTTCAAGAAATGCGTTGTAAAATCGAGTAAAATGCATTTCATTGAAAATCATCGATGGGGAAATGTTCTTCAAACACATATTTTGCTATTTGAGGTCACTGATACCAGGTCAGGTCACAGAGGTCAGGTCACGGGGGGTCACAATATGAAAGTGTCGTGTGATACATGTTTTATGGTCCATTTTACATGACAAATGCGATTATATGGGTCAGGCAGCCTTTGGGGCCAGCTTAGATCACGTTTTGGTCAAGGTCAGGTCAAGGTCAGGTCAAGGTCAGGTCAAATTAGGTCAAATTTCAAAGTTAATATTTTTGCATAAAATGGGTATCGAATCGATGCAGCTCGTCACGGGGAGTTCAATGGTGGTCTTTGTTTTGCCGTACGTGGTCTAGAATTGCTAAAAATTGAGTTCAAAAATTTGACGTCATCATTTTTGAACAGTTTTTTCGCTATAACTTGGCCAAAAAACGAGATATCGATCTGAAATTTGGTATGTATATAGAAGAGCGCTGGGACTATCACATATATTCCGGTTTTTTTCGAAATTCGGAAAAAAATTTTGGATTTTTTCAAAGTTTTTCTAAAAAAATCAATTTTTTGATTTTTTTTTGGTCAAAAACCAAAAATTTTGAAAATCCGAGATAGCAGTTTTGTAGCGCCGCTTTTTTTCTACTAGACCATATAAAGAACTTTGAAATTGCTTTATAACTGTAGATTTGGTGAGCGTTTCAAGATTGCATGTTTTTTGCTCATTTTTGCTCGAACATGACCTCAGTTTGACCTCAATAACTCCTGACCTAAGGTGACCTAAGACTTGAAATTTGGTGTGAAGGTGTCAAATTGATGCCCGGGAAGGTACTGAAAATTTGGCGGCGCTGCGCGCCGCCGTTTTCTTGCTATTCAGGAAAAACCACAGGGGGGGGGGGCAAAATGCCCCCCCCCCAACGGGGCGAGGGTTAATAGACGTTCTTGTGAAGATCTACGAAGCACCCGTGCGCTGTTCGCATTCCTGTCATATCGACATCATCACTATGTCGTTCTACAAATACTTGGGCCTACTTTT